TAAACTTTAAAACCTGTTGCCCTTTGTTTGTACTAGTATCTGATAGAGCACATAATTATATATTTGGGTTTTGTTTTTTTTTTTGAGGAAGACTAGCCCTGAGGTAACATGTGTGCCCATCTTCCTGTATTTTTTTAATATGTGGGACGCCTGCCACAGCATAGCTTGACAAGCAGTGTGTAGGTCTGCACTTGGGATCTGAACCAGCAAACCCTAGGCTGCCAAAGCAGAATGTGTGAACTTACCCACTGTACCACTGCCCTGGCCCCGTTTATTTGGTTTTTGAAGTGTAATACATCTAATTTATGGTAGTCAGGAAAAGAGATCATGATGTTCAGGTTTTTTATTTTTTGAAAACCTCTTGGTGATGTGGTCTCTAGGCTCCTTTCCAACCATAACATTTTATGATTCTGTGTACTCAATAAAGGGAAAATACAAGTGAAATCACGAGGGTAAGCTAAAAATAAAAACATATAAAACCTATATGGGATAGCGAACAATTGTGTATTTACATCTCTCAAGAATTTTTTCCATCTTGGTTCCTGCAGGACCATAAAATCATTCAAATAGCCAATGATTATATTATGAAGACTTATTTTTAAAATGTAGATGTTGGAGGATGAAAGAGTTGATGCCCAGCCTGGTGGCGTAATGGTTAAGTTTGCACGCTCTGCTTTGGCAGCCTGGGGTTCACAGGTTCAGTTCCTGGGTGCAGACCTACACACTGCTCGTCAAGCCATGCTGTGATGGTGTCTCACATACAATATAGAGGAAGATTGACACAGATGTTAGCTCAGGGCTGCTCTTCCTCACCAAAAAAAAAAAGAAAAAGAGTTGATACCTAGACTATAAAGAATTAAGAAATGGAAAGAACTGCTCAGGACTCTGTAGCTGAAAGTTAGAGTTCATTTACAAACTTTGCCATTTTCTTTCTTTAAGCTGTGAAATGTGACAAATTGGGAGTTTAAATTGCTCCTGCCTTCTGTATTATCTTTTTTCTTTTTTTTGAGGAAGATTAGCCCTGAGCTAACTACTGCCAAGCCTCCTCTTTTCGCTGAGGAAGACTGGCCCTGAGCTAACATCCATGCCCATCTTCCTCCACTTTATATGTGGGACGCCTACCACAGCATGGTGTGCCAAGCAGTGCCATGTCCACACCCTGGATCCTGGCGAACCCCGGGCCCCCGAGAAGCGGAACATGCACCCTTAACCACTGTGCCACTGGGCAGGCCTCTGTATTAATTATCTTTTGCTGACTAACAAATTACCCCAAATTTAGCATCTTAAAACAGCAAACATTTATTATACTGTACAGTTTTCAAGGTTAAGGATTGGGGAGTGGCTTACCTGCATGGTTGTAGCTCAGGGTCTTTCATGAAGCTTTCATGAAGTCATCTGAAGGCTTGATTAGCGCTGAAGGCTCTGTGTCCTAGAGAGCTCAGTCACATGACTACTGGCGGGATGTCATGTTCCTTGCCTAATGGGCCTTCCACAGAGTTACTTGAGTATACTCATGACACTGCTGTTGGCTTCCTCCGAGAGAATGACCCAAAAGGAAGAGATCAAGTAGACAGTTTCTGAAGTTGCACTCCATCACTTCAGCTTTATTCTATTTGTTAGAAGTGGGTCATTAAGTCCAGCCCACACTCAAAGGGAGAGGGGAATTATGCTCCACCTCTTCAAGGGAGGAATATAAAAGAATTCTCAGACAAGAAAACCCATAGGTACTAAATGCATCATAAACAGGCTTTATTACTTTGGTGCTTAGGGCACGTTTGAGAGTCAGAGCTCTAGAGCCAGAGTGCTTGGGTTCAGATCCTGGCCGTGCCTCCTATTAACTCTATGACCTTGGCCAAGGAACCTTAGATTCCTCATCTACAAAATGAGCACAGTAGTAATATCTACTTCATAGGAATGTCGAGAGGACTAAGTGAAAAAAGTGAAGGTTAAGCCTTTAGCATCATGGTTTTTATTTCAATAAGCATTAGCCTTTATTTACCATTTTTTTCCCTATTGGGACATAGCAATAACTTAGATATAGGGGATGTCTTTCTGTAATGTTATTAGCAGAATATGAATTTGTTCTGAAGTGTCTACCATGCTAACCTACCTATTCTTACTCAGTTTTTTATTCTGCTTATTAATACTTGCTTAATCTTGAAGTCTTGAGAAATGTAGGTGTTTTGTATGTGTGTGCATATACGTTTATATATATATTCAGTTCAATAAAATATACAATTATATATACATATCTTCACATATACTACATGGTTTGAGTTCTACTGTGTGGAAGAAATACATATATATTTAAATCCTGCCACATTTCTATTTTTAATATTTTACCATGTTGTTAAAAATTCTTCAAACACGTTTTTAATAGAACAATCCATTGACTGTCTTATTTCCTTTCTTAGGCTAAGCCCTGGAAATGAAATTCCTAGGTTAGAATATATGAACCTCTTTTAAACTCTTGATATGTAATGCCACATTGCTTTCCTGAAAGTTTGTATTGATTTATATTTCCAGTAGCAACCTATCCTTACTTAGTATTCCCAGTATAGTATTATTAGTCTCTAAATATTGGTGGCTTTTGAAAGCCTAGTTATAGCAGCAAGGCAGAATCACATTAAAGCCCAGGAAATTGTTTTTATTTATTTATTTTTATTGCAGTAACATTGGATTATAACATTATATAGCTTTCAGATGTACATCATAATATATTTCAAATTCTGTGTAGATTAGGAAATTGTTTTTATAAGAGCTGTAAATATATAGGAATATTTCCCAGTTTTTCTTCCATATTTTGTTATTATTATACACACATTATATACACATAATATAATAACTGTGAAGTATTATGCAGGAATAGATACAGCTTCTGTTCTCTTGGAATTTAAACTATAAAGGCTGACATGGATACATATAATTAAGATGTACAGAGAGTAAAATACACACATGCATACTATTCTCTTATTCAGATATATTTCAAGAAGCAAATAGTAAGGTAAAAGTTATGTATCAGGCTTCAAACTCACTCCCACATTGAGAAGAGTGCTCCTTTTTGAGCCAAGTTAACCTCTCAGCTCCAGAAAAAATAAACCTTTGCTTTACATAACTCTCTTCCCTTCTAAATAGATTACATGAAAAACTTCTGATTGATAGAGTGGAAATTCAGATTTGTTATCAATTTCAATAATCCGCCTAAAGCCAGCAATTACCTCTTAGTGTTCCTTATCATCCTCCACCTGGAACCGTCTCAGTTTAAGATGCTGCCAATCAGTGGATGATCTTTATATTAAACTGACTAGAAGTAGAAAATAAAAGTTACCAGTCATAGCGTTCTTTTTGTCCAATAGGTGGTAAGTTTACCTAATGCAAGAAAAAGATCCTTATTTGGTTTAATAGAGTTGTACTTTGGAAATGGTAATAGGTTCTTTTTCGGGAGGGTGGGGATCATGGTGGTAGGGCTAAGGGAAAGGACCAGGAAAATAAGTATTTAGAAGAAATAAAAAAAGTAGTCATAGGCTATGTAAATCTATTCTGAAGTTCCACTCATAAGTTGGGCAAACTGTTGTAAAATGATATTGCATTAATACTGCTGGAGAAATTTTTTTTCTCTAGATTATCAGCACAGTTCATTTAATTCAGATCATAAAAATTATTCTGTTATTTAAATTTGTAACTGCCAAGTCTTTTTTGTGTTTATTTAGCAAATACTTACTGAGCACTTACTCTGTAGGCGGCATTGTTTTAGGTAAATTTTGTGTAGAAACAACTTTAAGGCAACATTTTGTTTCAAACCTTTTTTTACATTATGTAATTTTGAAACCAAGGAAGCATTTTTTTTGTTTTAATGAAGCCTCACCTGAGTCATTTTATTGGATTGATCTCTTGTGTTGTCAATAAATTTATAGTCACTGAACGGCAATTTCTCTCTCATATTTTAATATGTACTTTATTTTTAATAAGGTTAATTTCTATCAAAAAGTTTTCTAAAAGATGATGATGATATAAATGAATACGCTTATTTGTTTCCAAATGAACCAGACAGAAATGAAAGGGTATATGAATTCCATGTCTAGCAAATTGGGGAAGGATAAGCATGTTGTTTACTAGCAAGTACCTGTTCAGTGTGCTCTTTAACACTTCTGTAGAGGGAAAAGGACGAAGTCGGTCTCTGAAAGTAGCTGGAAGCTCCTTACTTTCCAAGTAAAGCTTTTAGACTATTTTGTAGGTGTGACTTTTTTTGTTGGTATTCCTGTTTTAAAGTGCAGCTCTTTCAAGAGAACGGGTTACATGTTGCGTAAGCTTTGAAACGGCCAAAACAAGTTAAATAGCCACCTTTATTTACAGCTGCGGGACTAGATATTAGATCTCTTCCAGGAAGAAGATTTGATTAATGGCTCTTTTCCAGAGAGGGGACAACTGCAGACTTTTCTTCCGCAGAGCGTGAAATGTGCCTCTTCCTGCCGCGGGGCCTCGTCCTGGCCGCGGCTCCCGGCGGTTTCCAGCCTCAGGTGTCTCCCTCGCCGCGGCCGCGGCCGCTCTCCGGGGCGGGCGTCCGGGACTTCCTGTCTGGGCGCGGGGCGGAAGGATCGCGTTGCCAGCCGAGGCCGCCGCCGCCGCCGCCGCCGCCGCCCCTGCCGTTAGGTGGTGGGGTTTCTCAGCCCGGCGGCGGGAGGCGGGCCGGCCTCGGCTTCCTGTCGGAGGACGCGCAAGGATCCGGGCGTCTGAGTGTGTACGAGTGCGTGAGTGTGTGTCGGTCGCACGGCGTGTGTCTCCGGCCGCGGGTTCCGCCTCCTCCCCTGCCGCCGCTGCTCACGGTGTAAGTCAATGTGAAGCAGCAGCTCCAGCCCCGGGATAAACATGGCGACGTCTCTGCATGAGGGACCCACGAACCAGCTGGATCTGCTCATCCGGGCTGGTAAGGACGGAGGAACTTTTCTCCCGTGCATCGGTGCAGCAGGAGAGGGGGTGCACGGAAGGCGGGGTGACTCCCCTGTAGCGGTCAGTGCAGGGGGCACCGTGTCCACCTCAGTCACTGGGGCGGCCGGGGGAGAGGGGGGTAGTGAATGAAGTAATGGAGGCGACGAATCAGGAAGTGATCACCTTGGAGAGTAACCTGCCTCGAATCCGGCGCTGTCGCTTCAGGGTGGGTTTGGCGAGCAGCGGCGGCAGCTGCCGGGCGGAGTGCTGGCAGCGGGCGCCGGGGAGCCGAGCCGCAGTGAAGTTGGGGACTCGGGGGCGGACGAGTTGTGCGCTTCACCCCAGTTGCCGAGGAACCAGGAAGTGAGTGAGGCTGTTGTCTCCCGGCTGCGCCTGCCACGCTGTCTGGCCGGAGAGGCCGCTGCTGCCCGCGGTCGGGGGCGGCGGGCTTCTCCGTTGACGCTCGCCACCCCCGCCCCTGTCTCCTTTCCGGCTGGGTCCACGAATCCATGACTTCCGCATGGACGAGGCAGTCCCGGGCCATGTCCGGTAGACCGATACCCGCCAAAAAAATGCTCTGACCCTCTTCTTCGCATCCCCACCTTGTGCGGGCTCCGGAGTAACGGTTCTGTAAAGGGTCACTTAATGCGGAGGAGCCCGGAATGGTGTTTCTCTCAGGGGCCCGCCTCCCCTCCCTCGTTTAATGGGTGGCTGCGAAGAAGTACCCTTATGCCCCTTCCCTCGTGGGTTGTTTTTTTTAGGGGGGAGAATGGGAAGGACACAGATTATGTTTTGTCCCCCTGACCTGGAGCGTTGGGGCGTCAGAGAAGAACGTTCGTTTTTGTAAACAGCGGGTGAGTGTGAAGGAGTGGGGCGGGCAGGAGGGACTCTTGGCCGTAGGGAAGTCTCGGCACGGAATTGCCCCCTTTTCCCCTCCCCCCCAAACCTCCCACCATAGCGGAAGCGCTTCGGAGAGGACAGAACGGACGGGATTGACAGGCCTCTGGTTCCAATCTGCTCTCTGAGATGTTCCAAATAAGAACGTTGATTTCTGGGGGCGGGACTCTGGGCCCGCGCTGGGCCAATGAAGATTGGGCGGGAGTGAAGCTGACAATGTACGCATGGAATTGGAGGGAAGAGGAGTGTAAACACGGAAGTGGCCGCGGGGGTGGGGGATGTGCAGCGCCACTGCTGCAGCGGAAGGGCACGGACTTAAGTTACATAGAAAAAGCAGCTTAATAGCACACGGCGCGGTGAGGGCCCTGAATCGATGTAGCAGTGCTTGAGTAGTGTTTACTCGCTGTAGTAATGAGCACACATGTTCCTTTCTCCGTGTCATATTTCATATTGCCATCGATGGGAATTGGAAGATGGGAAATATTCACCAAAGAGTAATGCTGTAAAAGATCTTAGCCTCTGTTTTCTATCCATTGTTTTTAGGTAGGGAGCGTGAAATGAGTAGTTTGGTTGGTGAAACTGTGATTCAGTTCGATGGGGGAAATCACGAACACATGTGTATCCACAAATTTAACCCGAGAACTTTAAGTGCAAATGAAGTCTGGAATATAACCGTATGTGTTGTATAACACATAATGAGTGACCAGCCTTTTATTCTATAAAATGTAACATGACGCGTTTCAAAGGTCCCAAAGAAAAATCACAGTTTACTGAGTAGTGATTAAAACACATTTGACAGTTTTTTTCTGATCAGAGTAAGAACTTAAGTATTAGTGAATAAGAAGCAGAGTATGAGTTGTTCCTTTATGTATGTTCAGTCCATTAATAACATAGTATGAATTAAGGGGTGAACTTTTTGGCCTTATATTATTGCTACTAACAGTACTTATAATTGTTTGGGTCAGTGATATTTCTGTGAGTGCTGAACATTTCAAGAAACGTTTCCACTGGTTGTGAACATACCGAGAGAACCTTAGAATAGCCCCTGCACTTAGAATTTTGAAAAATACTGTTAAGGTAGGAAGGCTTAATTTTGCCAGTGGAAGATATTTCTCATAAACTTTTGGAACTATCAGCCAATACTGAATGTGACTTCTAGATATTTTGCTTGGAGCAGATACATACAGTCTAAAGTTTGAAAATACAAAGTTTTATCAGCCTTTGATAAGGTTTTTTTTTAAAAAAAAAAAGTTTAAATGTTATTTTCCAGCCCTACTGCATTGCTTTAGTATACACAAACTTTGCAATTGAAGTTTCCTTTGTGATTATAATGTTCTGTAAAGAATACATTTTACGTATAACTGTTTTCAAACTATTTCTTCAGTCTTGTTCTTGTAATTTGAAGCTCCTTTACAAGCCGTATGTTAGAAGGAAACTTGAGACAGGTTTTCAGATTTACCCAAGGTTTATTCAGTGAGTTAAGAGTTGAGGAGGAAAGGTGGCCCAGAACATTAAGAATCATGGATCTAAACTTTTATTGCTGACGGTTTCCAGTAGCGTGGAGAGTAATGTTTGTAAAGTTGTATTTGCAAAATGGACAGAGTGGTAGATTTATATTCCCTTGAGGGAAGTCATCAAGTGTTAGATATAATTCTTCCTCACAAAGAGTTTACAGTCTAATTGAAGAGATGGATGAAAGTCTGTATGGTATATAAATGTTAATCTCACTACAGTGATTGCTATAATGGATTGATGATTAGTGTAGAATGATATTAAGAAACACATCTAGAAGAGATGGTTGAATATTGTTAGCATAGCTGTTGTTTCTAAGTAACTATAAAGCACTTAATAGTACCACTACCATTGTTATATGTTAAGATACTAGAGGTTATATTTTTGCTTTTATTTTTCTCCTTCGGAGGTTTAACTGTCGACTTTAGCTATCGGCTTCAGCTTCAGTTATCAACATTTGGGTAAAGAATGAAATAAATAAGCTTATTTATTAAAAATCACTTTCATTTTAACATACAGAATATGTTTGTGGTAAAGACTTGACATACTTTTTAAACTTTCATTGGTAACATGATGTGTGAGCAAAAGCCTTGACCCTGCAGTCAGGAGATGAGGGTCTGCATCTGGCTGTCACTGAACCAGCTCTGTCCTAGCGCCTTAATAATTTCTTTCAGGGTTCATTTCTGTAAGAGAACAGGATTGACTAGGTGATCTCCAAGAACTCTCAAGCTCTAAAATTATAAATGGTTCAGAAATAGCTAATGGAAAGTGAGGACTTCTCTTTTTCTTAGATTTCTTTACATTACAGCATGTGAGTGAATATGTCTGTAAGGTCGTTATGTAATTGTGAGGGTAATTTCTTTCAGCCAGTCTTTGTGCCAAATTGGAACTTGAGGCCATAACTATATGTTGAATAAGACTATGATATAGTTTATTTAATGATTTAGGCTAATTTCTACTGTGTGTGTGTGTGTGTATATATATATAGCTTATTATAGAAAAAAATGAATGTCTAGTCTCTAGGAAAAGCGAATGTTACTAAATATTTATGCGAAAGTATTGTGTACGTATGGTCTGAATTTTCTGGAAGATTTTCAATTTAAAATATTGTCTTATTCTCAGATATATTTTCCTTGACTTTTTTATTTCTTCTTTTAAGAAATTGGAGAATTTGAGAATTGAGAAGTAGGGTTGCCAGAATTTTCTTCTACTTTAATGCAGTTATTAAATGGAAGGGGGAAATTTTTTTGGAAATTTCGCTTGAGTATTTTAACTGAAAGAATAAATCTGTCTAGTTTGTCAAAGTTCATCATGAAATTTGAATTTGAAAATGTTATTTCTAATTTACTATAAATTGGAATATCTAGTATCAATCTTGAAAAGATCAATTTGAAAAACATTTAGCAGAATGAAAAAATGAAGCATGTGTTGAAATACAACTGGAAGAATGGCTTTAATTTTTAAAAAAATTTATATGAAAATGTGTTTAAGAAATTACTTTTTAGAATTCATTGTAGCATTATACTAAAATCTTATAAAAACTGAGTTAAACAGTAACATCATTGTGTAGTCGGTTAGGATAATTCAACATGAAACAATTTTGTTTTAGAAACATTTGGTTGGCAGAGAGGGGCAGGCAGGAGAGTGTTTTTTGTTTTTTTTTTTAAAGATTTTATTCTTTCCTTTTTCTCCCAAAGCCCCCCAGTACCTAGTTGTGTATTTTTAGTTGTGGGTCCTTGTAGTTGTGCTATGTGGGACGCCGCCTCAGCGTGGCCTGACGTGCGGTGCCATGTCCATGCCCAGGATCGGAACTGGTGAAACCCTGGGCAGCCTAAGCCAAGCACACAAACCTAACCACTCGGCCACGGGGTTGGCCCCAGGAGAGTGTTCTTGATAATTATTTAAATTCCATGTGTTACCTGTAGCTTAAATGTTCAAACACATGCAAAGAAATATTTATGAAAAGCTCTTTAAAAAATCTTTCATGTGGACAAAATGTTATACTTAGGGAAATGGAATCATAATTTTTCATCTACACACTAATGTTTATGATTAGAAGCTAAAACTTACAGAAACATGAGGATAGAATTTGGGTGTTATTAATTACATTTGATAATAAATTACTGCTGCAGTTCTTAAAAACTAAAATCTCTGATCTTGGGATTCTGGGATTCCCAAGACTCTTTCAGGAGGTCTGTGAAGTCAAAATTGTTTTCATAACAATACTAAGGCATTATTTGCCTTTTCACTTTCACAAGTGTTTAGAGGAGTTTTTTAGATGTTACATGACTTGATATTACAACAGATTGAATAAAGAAGCAAATATGAGAATTCAGCTGTTTTCTACCATGTATTAACAAGATTCGCAAAAATGTGAAACAAAGCTACTCACTAATTTTTCTGTTTTAGAAGTTATTTTTTATAAAAATATTACTTATGTTTAAAAGTATTGGGTTTATTATTTTAAATGAATTAATAAATATTTTAAAGTTTTCTTAGTTTTAATTTCAAATAGGATAAATGTCTGTACATAAGACTTATATAAACAAAATCTCTTTGCAGTAGTGAATAATTTGATTCTGAAAAGGTACTCTGACCAAAACAGTTTGAGAATAGCTGAATTACAGTTTCATTTAGTCTATACTTTTGAATACTGTAGCAACTAGACACTTGTGGCTATTGAGTACTTGAAATGTGGCTGAGAAACTGAATTTTACATTTTTTAAAATTTTAATTAATTTAAATGTAAGAACTGAAGCAGTGGAAAACTTTTTTACAGTGATTACATGTTAAAATGACAATATTTTGGATAATACTGGATTAAATGAAAGGTATTAATTTCACCTGCTTTTTTTAATGTGGCTACTGAAAATTTAAAATTATATGTGGCTCATGTTATATTTTTATCAGACAGCTCTACTTTAGAAAATAATTTTATTCTCTTTTTTCTTTTAAACCTCATAATGCAACTATATTGATTAGAAAGTCTAAGGGGATCAGGTAAACATGGCGTGTCCCAGACCTTTACCATTTCCCCCTTTTCATTGCATTCATTTGTATTCTTCACTCATCTGTTACTGTTACACCCTTGGGGCGTTAGGATAAGCTGTGCTAAGTCAGGTGTGTAGCTGAGTGATGGCCTTGTAATATTAGTTTATGGTCTTGCTTGTAGGGGAATACCACTATCACCTAATGAAGTGTTTCCTAATTTTTTTCCATTGCTCTCAAATTAAATTGCTATTAATTTTTATTTTTGACTTTAAGAACATTGTTATGAACTAGATCCATTGCCAGCATTCTCTTCTGCAAAGCTGAGAGGTATGTCTCTTGTCAGACTTAATTACCAAGTTTGGTATTTAGTAACAGCTGTTGAGTGAGTCTGGAATAGTCTACCATACAAATACCAGTTGATTAGAAAGCTAGAAATGGAACCAGAAGACTTGTACCAATAATAAAGGAGGGGCTAAGTAAATTTAATTTTTGGCACAATGACTAAAATTCAAATAGTTTTGAAATTTGGTACATTTATGTCTTTGAGGAATATTGACCAGCAACACCAACTACTGGTGGTAACTAGAAAATGATAGCTGTCAGTTTACCTTTAGCTTCATTTTTTTCTATTTTTGAAATGAGTTACTTATGTTTTTCCTCCCATAAATTTCATACACAGGTTTAGAAAGACAGCAGTAAATCAAGTTTAAGTAAGAGATAAGGAATTTTCAGTCCTTGCTTGTAGCTTGCTTACTTTAATTGCACAACACTGTTAAACTCATGTTTATCATTAAGAATTGCGAAAAATTTTAGCTTAAATTGTATTTGAATTATTATCTGGACAAAATAGTATTAAGAAGTTTTCAAAAATTACAGAAACTTGAATAGGAGAAATATTTCTTAAATTTCTGTTAAGAAAAACTACTAGACTTATGTCAACAAAAATCAAAAGGGATAGTGCTCACTTGTACAAAATGAGTGAAGTATTCTTGGAAACTGTCATGGGCACATTATTGTAAATTTATCAAAGTGTGAGCTCTTAGGTGTTCATTTTTTTAAAAAATGTGCTTAGAGTTATTTTAGTAAATAAAAGTGACAAAAAGTAAAATTCATAAGCATCAAAAAAGAAAGAAATCAGTGCTCTGCTTCACAAGCTGTTAGCTTACAGAGTAACTTTAAATTATTTTGCACCTTTATTTAATTTTGAAATAGTTTACTTCCATTTATGTTTTTGATATTCTCCGAACTATTAGTATAAGCTTCACAAGGCCAGAGATCTGTTCACACTTGTATCTCAGGTTATAGCACAGGGTCTGGCACATGGTAAATGCTCGACAAACACTTGTTGACTCTCCAGAGTATTAGATCTTCTGATTGATAATTCGTGGAAAATTTACGCAGTTTTGATATTCTCATCCTAAATTTAAGTATGAACAGGTAAGTTTTCTTCTTCAGTTTGTATGTATTTTATTTGTCTCGCTGTGTAAATATAAAATATTTCTGGGAAATAATATGTTGAATTTGGGGGAAAAGAGGAGGTTGATGTCAGAAATATGAGCAAGAAAATATACTTTTAAGAAGTTCTAGTAACATAACTAACATCAAATCATGGTTTTGAAAATGTTCCTCAAACTACATAAGAACTCAAGGCAGCATAATATATAACTGTTAGGCAAATTTCATTTTGTTTCATTAAATTACATTTAAATATCTGGTAAAATTCTATTGCTGTATTGTAATCAAATACTCAAAGCTATGATTTTAATACAGTAGGATTTTTAGAGTGTGTCTTAATACAATTACATAAAGAATTAGTTTACCCAGGATGTTTTTATATTAATAGCACCTTAAGACAACAGCTAAATTGCAACACAAGCAGACTTTAAAGAAAATGAAGTTCCTAGAATAAATTTTAAAAACCTGAGAATTTGCTCTCCAAGGTTCTTTAGTGTATGTGAGTATTGTGGGGAGGTACTTTGAAAAAAATACTTGAGAATGGTAATATATTTTATACTTACTAAGTTTCTTAAAGTTGAGCTAGAAGGACTGATTGAATCCATTGCTTCAGTGAGGCTGCAGATAAGAGTAAGCTGGGTCACCTAAAGATAGATTTACTTAGAGGTTTGGCTGCCTCTCTGGAACCGGTTAGCTTTGAGCAGATTTCCATAAATGGAAAGAGCAACTGGAGAGACCCAGTACCTTGGTTGAGAGTGTGGATGATGTGCAACAGGTGGTCAAACAGTCACTGGATTTTTTATAAATGCTCTCCAAATGACTGGTGTTTACGGCTGAGGCTTTAGCATTTGGTGAATTTTGAGACTAAGTGAATTTTTCTTTTTCAATTAGTTTCCTGGAAACAGTTTAAAAAGATTCGTATCTTTAGTGTGTAGAACTTGTGAATTTGTAATATGATTTTATGAAATTTGTATAAATATTTCCTTTTAGTTCCTTTAGAGGACAGCTTAAGAAAAATGTATCAAAGTAGAAACTGTTATATATTCATGTTTCATCTTACCAAGTAGAATATTCAATATTTTAAGTCAGGATATGAAATTGATATATCATTAAGATAATAAGTTGGTGCTTGAGTGGCCAATTTTCCTGTAAGGTCAGTGGGTTGTCCTTCACTTCATTACACAAAAGAAATACTTGCATGCCTGCTATGTGAAAAGTCTATGTTAGGAACTATAACAGATACAAAGATGAATTGAGATAGCGCCCCCTGATCTCAAGGAGTTTATAATCTTACAGGAGTGATAAGAAATTATCATCAATTCTTATCTATATGCCAAGCATTGTGCATGTTTTTTATGGGAATCACCTCGCTTAATTCTCACAACTAAATGAGGTGAGTAATACTCCCATTTTGTGAAAGAGGAAACTGAGCCTTAAAACATATTAAATTCCTGGCCTAGGGTACCAGAAACTATAAGAGGCAGAGACTAGAACTCAAGCTGTTGGACCTGGAAGCCCAAACCACTGCTGTACATTTTACTGCTTCACAAATAATTTAATCAACAAGGCATAAAGAGCTAGAAGAGAGTTACAAAAGGTGGTAGAATTACAAAAGGCTTCATGGGGGCGGGTGGAGAAACTCTCTTAAAAAAGATTTCTTGCGGGGCCGGCCCTGTTGCCGAGTGGTTCAAGTTCAGCGCTCTTCACTTTGGCCGCCTGGGTTCGAGGGTTCGGATCCCAGGTGCAGACCTACTCCACTCATCAGCCATGCTGTGGAGGCATCCCATATACCAAAAGTAGAGGAAGATTGGCACAGATGTTAGCTCAGGGCTAATCTTCCTCAAGTGAAGAAAAAACAAAAGTGGAGGATTGGCAACAGATGTTAACTCAGGGTGAATCTTCCTCCTCCTCAAAAAAAAAAAATTCTTGAGTAAAACCCAGCAAAGTCTGGTGAGGTCCTAAAGAAGGAGAGCAAGGTTATTGTGAAGAAAATTCCCAAGTGCTCTGGTGCTAAAACTAATGCACTCACCCATGAGGGTCTGTAAGAATTCCTCACAGTATTGTTAATATTACAACCATCCTTTTCCCCCTTGAGTTAGTTTTGGCCTAAAATTGATAGAGGGTTCAAATTTCAAGGGTCTGTCTTTGTTTTCCTTTGGATAAGATTCAGAAATTTCTCAGTAATTTCTATTTCTAATCAATCTCTATAGTTGCTTTATAATCAACATTCATTTTACAAAGTAGATCCATTAGATACTAGATTGTTTTGGTTTTTAAATTATTTCTGTAAATAATTTATATAGACTAATGTGTATCAGTGACTTACTTAGTTTTTCAAATGAGAGTTAATTCATATTTATTTTTTATACCGTGATGTGTTTTCATTTAGTAATGTGTTCAGTGCATTTTTAATTGAGTATGATTTATTTTCCCCTAGTGGAAGCATCGGTTCATAGCAGTAATGCACACTGTACAGATAAGACCATCGAAGCTGCTGAAGCCCTGCTTCATATGGAATCTCCTACCTGCTTGAGGGATTCAAGAAGTCCTGGTATGTGAACTGTTCTTTTTTATCTTAAACATGTCACATCACTTCATATATAGAATGAAAGGGTTTTTTTTTTTTAAATACAAGGGGGATTGATGGTGTTCTCAAGGTCTGTTATGCACGAATACCTGTGACAGCAATAATTGATCTTGTCAAGGTTCCCAAGTCTTAAATGCTTTAAATACTTCAAATACTTAATTTTCATAATAAATGATACAGAAAATGCTTATTAGAGCAATTAGAAATAGAACAATGTTTATTAAATTGCTCTTTATACTATCATGTCTTATTTCCTTAACTCTGGGTGAATTGCAAACCTTCGTAGTCCTTAAGCGCATGGCATATGGGGGCAGTTGCCTTCTGTGACCACTTTGAGTATTCAGTGATAAATAGGCAGGAGCTCCAGGGAACCGTCCATGGTGGAGAGAGGAGGTAACTCCACCCTTTCCTCTCTCTCTTTGGGGCTGCAGGTTTTCCTTGTCTTTTGGTCCTTTTTTTCCCTTAAGACTGCCTTTGAGAGTCATTTTGTCCTAATTTTAATGTCCACATGTTAATTTGACGTCACATAGTAAGATTGGCCCTTCTTACAGGGATGTACAATAAAGACTAAGAGCAACCATACTTTTTAGTTAGAATAAGAATCCCATGTATTATTCAGGGATATGAAAAGAAAATTAGGGCATATTGGTCAGTGTCTTAATCCATGATAGATGTATTAACTGTCTGTTAATTGAAATAGAAATGTCATATCCTGATTATTCATGCACTTTGGAAGGAAGTTGGAGCAACATTATTGTATGTAATAGAATACCAGATAGCAATCTGTATGGACTGTTTTAGTGACCCAAAACATCAGGACTTTTCCACATAATAAAATTTTAAATATTGAAAGATGATATTCATGGGGCTGTAATGAGCAGATTTTCCTTTCCTTCATATTTTAAAATGAACTGTAAGTGCTTACTTTTCACTGAATACACGTTTATTAAATATTTTAAATTTTATACCGTGTGCATGTATTACCTAGTTAGAGAATCATGATTGGTACGTGGAAGGAAACTAATTACTAAAGAACTCACTCTTATACTATTATTTTATTTTCAAATGTTTTCCCAACTGTCAAAATAATTCAGTCTTCTCCAGTGAGCTTGAAAGTATCTAAAAGTGTGAAGAACAGGAGGGTGACTGACTACTCATGATCCCCTCTTTGCCCGGAGGATTAACATTTCCTGCAAGTCAATTTTCTTTGCATTTTTTTTTTTTACATACTTTAGATCATATTGCGTATTCAGCAAATTAACTTCAAGTTCTTATCCTTCTTTGATGAATTCTTAATAAACCTTACCTCTACTAAATACTGAATTGTCCGCATTAAGAAGCATTAATGGGGGTGGGAAATTTTAATTGTTCAACTTTTTTTTATAGTGGAAGTGTTTGTCCCTCCTTGTGTATCAACTCCAGAATTTATCCATGCTGCTATGAGGCCAGACGTCATTACAGAAACTGTAGTGGAGGTGTCAACTGAAGAATCTGAACCAATGGATACCTCTCCTATTCCTACATCACCAGATAGCCATGAGCCAATGAAAAAGAAAAAAGGTAGAGTATATTTATAAATTTCTGGAAAAGTGAGTGGAATTTTTTTGGTATCTTTTTCCCCATCAAGGGACATAAGAAAATGCTGTAGCTTTATGATTGATGTTATCTTAACTAGATATTCTCAAAGAATCAACAAATTGAGATTTTAATTTGTGTTTTAACATGTTCATACTGTTGAAAAGGAGTTAGTATTCGAGTCCTATAAATACTTCTCTTAATATGAGATTATAACAGATGTTGGACACACAGAAGGAAGAGCAGAGATTCACTGTACATTTGTCTACTTTCTGTTCCTTTTAGGTGCTTGGTTACTTTTAAAAAACAAACATACATTTTATTCTTTTTTTTTTTTTTTTAAGATTGGCACCTGAGCTAACAACTGTTGCCAATCTTTTTTTTTTTTCCTCTGCTTTTATCTCCCCAAATCCCCCCAGTGCATACTTGTATATTATAGTTGTGGGTCCTTCTAGTTGTGGCATGTGGGACGCCCCCTCAACGTGGCCTGACGAGCGCTGCCAGGTCCGCGTCCAGGATCTGAACCCGTGAAACCCTGGGCCACTGAAGAGGAGCAAGGGAACTTAACTGCTCGGCCACGGGGCTGGACCCCCATTTTATTCTTTATTTTCTCTATTTTTCATAATCTTACCTTCCTACTCTTTTGAGGGCGAAAAATAAAAGGCCCAATTTTTTTTCCTTCTGCTTTAAAACAAATTTGCCAATAGGGACTTCTAAGTGGAGTAAATTCACCAGTGGGTAAAGAGCATTTTCACTTAGTATTTGACTCTTGCTGACCCTTCTGCTTACCTGATCCCAGTGGGTGGGGCACAAGGCTCCAGCACATTTCCAACATCCCGAGGAGATGGACAAGTAGGTTCTTTTCCTGTTTGAATCAAAGGTTAAACTTGAAAGGAATGAAATCCTATGTAAATATGTACTCATCTAATTCCACTTTCTACCCTCTTTCTTCACATTTTAGAGTGGAAAAAGGAATCACAGGCAAAAATAAGGGAAAACTTGGGTTAGAAATAATGGTATTTTCTTTCACTTATTAGACAGATGAGTTAAATTGTTGTGATGTTCACGGGTTTGTGCTTACTGCTATGAGGAATACAATGGAGAATACGATGGAGTGCCTTCCCTTAAATAATACATATAGATTAAATGTATCTTGAGAGAGCGGTATGAATGAGAGAATGTAGAAGGAAGAATTACTTCTTGCTGTAAATGTTTAAAAACAAAAGGCATACATCTATATAGCCCTGTTTACCCACTGCCTATGGTAGCCTTTGACTGGTTGTATCTAGTGGGAGCTATTACAACTGCTTAAGAAATTTTTAGATTTAAAAGAAGATGGAAAAGACCATGAAAAGCTGGGATCACATAGGGAACCAAGACCTAGATAAACAGGTTGCTCTGCCTGTGTATTATGATATAAACCAGGAAACAATTAGCTAATTTTACATATTTGAAAATAGATGGTCTTAATGAACGACCATTTAAAAATGACATATAACACTCTTATTTATTTATTTGTGGTTAAGAACACTTGGGACATACAAAGTTAAGTTCTTTTTTAATAGTAGAGCCTTCTTTTTATTTCCAAAGCTTTTAGTATACTAATATGCATTGTGAATCTCCAAGAGAAGATAGCATACAGTGTTCTATAAGTTTTTTTGACTGGAGAACCCTTTTTCCTACAGATGAATAACCTGTTTATCAAGGGATATGATTTGGGAGATGCTGCTTTCTAAGAAAATAAATTGTCTTTTTGTGCTAACGTTTCCATTAAGGAAGTTGGGCTTTTGTGCTTGAATTTAGGAGATGGTAAAGATGTTAGTCTTATTATTGACTGATATGTATATATAGATATTATTTAAATTAAGAAATTAAGCTCTGTTTTAACAAGGAGAGAACAGTGAATTTTCCATTTTAATTTTTTGCCAAAGCACACTTCTTATTCATTAGAATTACTTTAATGAAATCCTAGAATAGCTGTGCATTTTGAAATATAAATTAAGACACTTTAATTTAGCTCTTTATTTAGCTCTAAATAATCCTTGCTAATGAAGAGTAGAGTGACATCAGAAATCCCAGATGTATGACAATCACCAAATCAGTATTAATATATTTAATCTGAAAATATAGTATACTTGAATATTCCCAACCTCTTTCTTGAGGCTTCCCCTCACCTGCCAGCATTCATCCATCAGAGGTGAGGATTGCATACAACACGTCTCAGACTTTGGCCTTCTTTAGTGTAGAGAAGTATAGCTCTTGCTTTTCTGTTCATTGTGGATGCTAGAGAGCCTTATGGCAGAAGTGAGGAGAAACAAAAGGAAGAGTACAAACATTTATTAGATGTAGGAAATAATTACTTGGAACTTTTTTTAAACCCTTATAATGTACCTCCATATTTAGGTGGGGAAATTTGAACACTTATGCTTGAATTCTGGTGAATTGATTGGCTCAGAGCAGAAGAGAGTATTTAAAATAATATTTTTTACTTTTCCTCATTTGAGCTCAAAGGGCTTCGCAGATTATCAGATCTTCTGCAATAGGTAGGTAAAGCTTTTTCTAACAATCCTGTAGAACAGAAAGCAAAAGAGTTTGTACTACAGTTTGTTCCCATTGCTACATTATTGGAAAAGGTTAGCAAATTGAGGCTCTGACCATGTAAATAATAGGATAGTAGTACCTGACTTGCCATGTCCATTGAGATTACTACCAACTAACTGCTGTAATCTAGAATTGCAGAAGTGCTTTTAATGCTCCTTTTAAAAGGAACTTTTTATATACATGGAGTATATTAATCCACAAATTAGTGTCCAGTTTCACAAATAATGTGTTAGCAAAGAGTCTGCTAATCATGCTTCTATTATTTTTCCTGTTTTCAATGTATGGTTTCAATATCTTATTTTTTCAGTTGGCCGTAAACCAAAGACCCAGCAATCACCAATTTCCAATGGGTCTCCTGAATTAGGTATAAAGAAGAAGCCCAGAGAAGGAAAAGGTAATTTGGGGGGGGAGGGGGGCTGTTTTGGAGGTGAGATGATTTGTTTTTCAGTCAGGTGACATTTTTGCATTGGTAAGAAAGTTATTTCTAGTACATGCACAAGTGGGAGTACTGTTTTTGGTAGAAGTTCTTAATCAGGGATGTATTAGCATCGCCTAGGAAGCTTTTCCAGCCTATCTGTACCTGGTCCCTACCCCACTGAGATTCTGTAGCAGTGGATATATGATGGGAGAGTGGAAGGGGGCAGGCGTTTGTATTTGGAAAAGGTTGTAAGTGCAGTCTGATACACACCTTTCTTTTTTTTTTTTTTAAAGATTTTATTTATTTTTTTTTCCTTTTTCTCCCCAAAGCCCTCCAGTACATAGTTGTATATTCTTCGTTGTGGGTCCTTCTAGTTGTGGCATGTGGGATGCTGCCTCAGCGTGGTTTGATGAGCAGTGCCATGTCTGCGCCCAGGATTCGAACCAATGAAACACTGGGCCACCTGCCGCGGAGCGCGCAAACTTAACCGCTCGGCCATGGGGCCAGCCCCTGATACACACCTTTCTTAAGAGCCATTGTTCTAGGGCATGTGTGTATGTATAACAGCACTCCTCCTCACACAGAGCCACTTAGAATTGAAAGGGGTTTACAGCTAAGACTTATTTCTGATACATTACTTTCTTAACTGATAGAAGCAATGCAGTAATTCAAGGCAAGCTGAATTTAATTTCCCAGTCAACAAATTTTAGTCATGTCAGTCAGGAGTCAGAACAAAAATTTTAACATGTTTTTGCTTTAGAATTTGTATATTCTCATTAAAAGCAAAAATAGCAATAAGCCGCCTACATTCTGAGCTCTCTTAATTTGTTGGATAAATTGATTTCAAGTAATATTTTAATAATGGTTTTAGATGTTCTGAAAATCTGATAACCAAAAATTTATCACTTCCATGAATAAATGTTTTCAGACCAATATTCAATAGTTGGATACATTTTGGATTAATATATTCAAATTTATTTCATCCTCAACAGATGGTCCGACACATCTAATTCTAAATAATTAAAGCAAAAATTAAGTCTGTATTAAAAAAAATTAAGTCTGTAGTAACCCTCCAAGAAATTTAGGTTAGACAAAAAATCCAGTTACAGTGAACTCTTATTTATTTAGGAACTGATAATTCAATTTGGGACTGATTTAGGATACTTTTATTTCCTTGTCTGTCTTTGGTCATTTTACATTTCTTACATCTTAGGTTTTATCTTTCAATTTATATTGAAAACTTTAAAACTAACATAATAGTAAATATTAGAAAGCTAAATTGTAAATATCCAATTATTATGGTTTTTTTAAAATACTTATCATCATCAGTGGTATCTCTTGTACTCAAAGACCTTATGCTTAACATTGGAGAAAAACTTTGTGATGACCTATTTTTACCAATCAAAAATCATCTATCATTAAAATTTCAGTCTTATATTAAACTTGAGGCAACCTGTTGTAATGTGAAGATTAAAGTTATTACAGTCACACCTGGATTAAAAATCCAGCCAGTGTTTGCTTTTCTGCAAAAGTAGGATAATGTCTGCATAAGCTTAATGAACTACCTTGTCTGATAAAGAAGACTTCCCTTTCTGAATTCTGTTTTCCTTAAAACCAGAAATAGAATTGTTAATTTTGAATTGGGGATGGGAACTGAGGCGGAGCATTTAAAGATAACCAGAGGAATATTGATGAGTCTAATTAATTCAACAGACATGGAAGCATTAAGATCCCTACTATGTACAAGGCATTGTCTATGTTGTACAAAAATTTCTTCCAGAATAAGTTCTCTGCTTATTTTTACTATATCCACTCATAGGGCTTCATAATCTCCTGGTCATAAACAAACTAAAAATGCCCCAGCTATATATCTTGGTGCACTTGAAAGTTATACATGGTTTAATAGTAAGAGTTTTTAGGTATTGATGCTGCTGTAATAGGGCTTCAGAGATACAAGCGTAACATAGTTCAGTTGTAGGTTAATCTTTTTAGGTCAAGAGATGCACACTGGGCTCAGCTGTGGGTTAATAGATTTACTGAATTTTCAGGGACATCCAGAATGAAAATGAAATGCTGGAGGAGGAGGATGTTTCTATTGATTAGCAATGGCTCGGTTTGGAAGCTTCTTACCCTTAGGGGTTCTTCTCACGTAGACTGTAACTTGGATCTGGATTTGAGGAGAGTAAAGGGATAGTGAGTAGGAGGCTAGAGATGACCTGGTGACTCAGTGGTGGCACATGTATTCTAATGTTCTTCTCAGGATTCTTTTTTGTTCTTTCACCAAGTTAAGAACTTCTGTACCTAGAGGCTTATTAAGGAAATGAAAGAAAAACAGCACCTTGAAAAACCTAGTCTTCTCATAACCACCGCCCACTACTCTTCCCCACTTCCAAAGGGAAAAAAAGTGACGCTTTCTTCTTGTGGGATTAAATTCCTTATCTTACCTACCCAGATTCCCTCCTTTTCTTATATGCAAATCTTACCCATCTTCCAAGACTTCATGATGTTTTACCCATCCACTTTATTTTCACTCATGAAATCCCAGACATTATTTTCTATCATTCATTTGGAATATAATTATGCATTGCCTTGTGATATGTCTTATATTGTTTCACACTGTTGTTTATTTCTTGTATTGTTGTCTATTTTTTTTCCTTCCCAACTAAATTTCTTGAGGCAGGGACAGGTTTTAAAAGCTTCTCTGTATTCTCTACTACACTAAAGCATATAGTATGTGATGAATAAGTTATTTCATTCTGCAGAAATATTTTAATATCTCATTTTCAGATCTTGCTAATAGCATGATCAGATGTTGTATATAGTTAACATTTGATGAATACTTAACTAGTTTAAGAAATTGGCACATCAGTGTTTAGTGTTTCTATTTAAGGAGTTCATATTTTAAGACTGAAGCACAAATGTGTTTAATAACTGAGTTCTTCATATATAATGAAATCTTTCTGATATATTACTTATCTTCACTGTACTGGCTATGATCAGTTTAGCAATGTTAAAAAATCTGGTTTTGGAAGTAGTAGCTTTCATTGATAACAAATCTAAATTGACTAGTAGTCCAGAGGATAATGAAAGAGGATGTTTAAAGGGTCATGGGTAGTTAGCACTTTGTAAGACATGTACCTCAGATTTCATGCCTATAGGTGAATCAAAGAAAAGTGTGTTTCTTACAAAAAGACCCTAGGACTGATGCCTGAAAGTTATGTAGGTTCCATTACATACTGCTTACCTTTTAAAAAAATTAATAGGTGCCTTTTGATGAATTTTGATAATGGGATTTGGGCTTATCATATAATAAATATACAGGTGCAAATAAATTTCTTCAGAGTTTAAATCTGTAAATTAATACATTTGATTCTATTTAATTTAGGTTCACTTTGTGCTATGCATTATGCCTCTCCCTTTACTGAACTCAAAATCTAGGATGGGGTGATATATGATAGTCAAAATACAAAACCTCTGTTATGTTAGTATCATAACTGGATAACATATAGGATATTATTTTTAAAACCCAGCAAGCAAGTGTATTTAGGATTTTTGTTATAGTGAAAGATACTTTATATTTTACTAGACAACACAATTTGACGCTGCAGATCGTTGCTGATGTGGTCAAGTACCTAATGACAGACTCTTAGTACATTTGTGTTTCACCAGTAGTAAATGAATTGATTTTTACCCAGCATAAGTAGATACTTGTTTTTCATTATGTTGATGAATTTTTGATCAATGTCTATCATTGTTTTCAAAGGGAACACAACCTATTTGTGGGAGTTTCTTTTAGATCTGCTTCAAGATAAAAATACTTGTCCCCGGTATATTAAGTGGACTCAGAGAGAAAAAGGCATATTCAAGCTCGTGGATTCAAAGGCTGTGTCTAAGCTTTGGGGAAAGCATAAGAACAAGCCAGACATGAACTATGAGACTATGGGACGAGCTTTGAGGTAAGAACACAAAAGAACGAATTTTCAAACAAAACTTAGATGTCTCTTTATATTGTGTATTAGCTGTTTAAAGAGTAGCTCTAAAAATCCCTTAATTAGAACTTTTAATTTTGAGGGATATTCTTGAGGAACTTCTTGGATTTGGAGGTAGATGGGGAGAGAGGAGTTAGGTCTGAAATTTCAATATCATGGGAAAACCCATTTTTGCAGAAAATGTGCTTTTTCACTTAGGACTATTCCTTAATAGAAATTTAAGTTGTAGACCTTTATGAAAATTAAACCCAAATGAAATACAGTTTCCGAATTGTTAATTTGCTTTTTACTCCTGCGAATTTGTTATAATGGATTTATCTTGATAAGAAAATTTCTCTTTAAGGTTTGTCACTTTGAGAAACCCACAAAACTTTGTAATGTACGTGGTTTATTCTAATTAAGGATGTTTATAAATGATACATAGTTTATGTGACAGTATTCACATATCCTACAGATTCATCTCTACTAGGCATAGCTTAGTCATAACATCAGATTGTTTTTATAACCTATGTAAATCAGAGTTGAATTTTTACTAGTGTCCATAAAATACAGTAAAATATCCTGTATTTAGGTTAAATTAGTTCCTTTAAGAAAGAGAATGAACTTTTAGCAACTTTATAGATCTCGAGGCCATAGGACCTTTGGCACCAGGTTCCAAGTTCATTCCTACTCCAAATTCTTAGCCTTTTGAACAATCCAGGCAGTAAGAGCTCCTTTTTCTTATCTCTTGTGGGAGTAAGTCAATGTTTCTGTTAGTATCCATTTTAAATGGTGTTTTTGGTTTTTTGGGGGGAAAAAATGTAATACGTTTGATTCATTTAGTACTTTTTCCTTTACAGATATTATTACCAAAGGGGTATTCTTGCAAAGGTTGAAGGACAGAGGCTTGTATATCAGTTCAAGGATATGCCCAAAAACATAGTGGTCATAGATGATGACAAAAGTGAAACCTGTAATGAAGATTTAGCAGCAGCTGCTGATGAAAAATCATTAGAACGAGTGTCACTGTCTACAGAAAGTCTCCTGAAAGCAGCAACTTCTGTTCGTGGTGGGAAAAACTCATCTCCTCTAAACTGCTCCAGAGCAGAGAAGGGTGTAGCTAGAGTTGTGAACATCACTTCCCCTGGTCATGATGCTTCATCCAGGTCTCCTACTACTACCGCATCTGTATCAGCAACAGCAGCTCCCAGGTAAGTGAGGGAAACTGTTAGTTGTAATGTATTTACTTTTTTAGAGAGCTCCTTGGCAAAAATGATGTTCCTTTCTTAATATTAGCATTCTAAGAACCCACAGGTGTCAGGACTTTGAGAAGTGCTTGATATTTTAAATGTATTTTGTTGTTGTTAAAGTAGATGTCTCATCTAACCTAGATTGGTTTTTACGGTTTTAGAGATGCAACTTAATATGGGCTTTATTTTTTTAAATATATTTACTTCATGGTATTTCATATTCTAAACTTCAGGGATTGTCAGTACATCTGTAAAATTTGGGAGCACTAGTTTTGTATATTTCAGATTTGCATTTATCTTCTTGCTTAAGAGACCTATTTTCTAATTTCGCATTAAATATAACCAACTTCTTTTTTTTAATCTAATAGGACAGTTCGCGTGGCAATGCAAGTACCTGTTGTAATGACATCGTTGGGTCAGAAAATTTCAACTGTGGCAGTTCAGTCGGTTAACGCAGGTGCACCATTAATAACCAGCACTAGTCCAACAACAGCAACCTCTCCAAAGGTAGTTATTCAGACAATCCCTACTGTGATGCCAGCCTCTACTGAAAATGGAGACAAAATCACCATGCAGCCTGCCAAAATTATTACCATCCCAGCAACACAGCTTGCACAGTGTCAACTGCAGACAAAGTCAAATCTGACTGGATCAGGAAGCATTAACATTGTTGGAACTCCACTGGCTGTGAGAGCACTTACCCCTGTTTCAATAGCCCATGGTACACCTGTAATGAGACTATCAGTGCCTACTCAACAAGCATCTGGCCAGACTCCTCCCCGAGTTATCAGTGCGGTCATAAAAGGGCCAGAGGTTAAATCAGAAGCAGTGGCAAAAAAGCAGGAACATGATGTGAAAACTTTGCAGCTGGTACAAGAAGAAAAACCAGCAGATGGAAATAAGACAGTGACCCACGTGGTGGTTGTCAGTGCGCCTTCAGCTATTGCCCTTCCTGTGACTATGAAAACGGAAGGACTAGTGACGTGCGAGAAATAAAACAGCAGCTCTACCGTGGACTTTAGACTGTTAGTGATAGTACTAACATAAATATTTGCAAGGGATGTCATCAAGAAAAGTCAAAAGAAGACTTTAAAACATTTTTAAGGCATATAAGAAAACAATCAAACTTACTGGAAATAAATTACCTATCCCATGTTTCAGTGGGAAGTGAACTACATATTGAGATGCTGACAGAAAACTGCCTCTTACAGTAGGAAACAACTGAACCCGTCAATAAGAGAAAGGATTGAAAGGGACCAAGCAACTCACTACAATATCAAGTTACACTAAGACTTGGAACACTAACATTCTGTAAGAGGTTATATAGTTTTCAGTGGGGAGGGGTTGGGATGGGTGATCTCATTGTTACATATAGCAATTTTTGATGCATTTTATATGCATACCAGCAATTATTACTGTGTTCACACAGAACTCACTTAACTGGTGCTATGTGAAGACTCTGCTAATATAGGTATTTTAGAATGTGAATTGAAGAACGGATCCAAAAACTTCAGAAAGAGGATAGCAAAAAAGATCTAGTGCGAATTTTTTTTTATATCATATAGCTTAAGCTGATTTAAAACAAAGGCCTTAGACTAATTTTTGGTTTTCTTTATTGAAATAAGCTAATGGCTTGTTTGTGTAAAGCTTTTTTATTAAAAGAAAAATTTTAAAAATCTTGTACCTAGCACAGTATTGTTATAGAATTTACATGTAACATTTTATATGGTAGTTTAAGTCTGTCAGTTTCTTAATTGTGGACAAATTAACAGTTGGCCCTGGCCTTTTGCTGTAACATGCCTGTGTCACTCACTTAGCCCTGGCATCTGTGCAGACATATCAGTTTCAGTTCTTCTGTCACTTGGAAGTTAAGGCTCAGCATGAATTTTTGTCAGGTAGCTCTAATACCTGGAGTTTTCTTTCTTTCTTTCTTTTTTTTTTTTTTAGTTAAAGTTTAAGAGGGAAAGTACCAGTGTTCAGATTTGAACTATAATAGTTTGTATATTCAACATTTGAAGTATATTCTATTTTGTTGTACTCTTGTTTCAAAGTGTATTCAAGTAGGTTTTCTGAAATATAGAAATGAAATTTATCTTGTGTTTTGGTCTCTGGTGATATTTATAACAATATTCAAAAGCTAGTATGGAGACACTGTTTTAGTTAAGAAGTAATAGAAGTTCTATTTCTCCTTCCCTACTGCTGCCTGAAGAAATTCTACTTACTTTGTTCCATTACATTAATAGTTGGTGAATATCTGCATGTTACCACTTCCTTTCTAATTACTATCATGAACTATAATGTTCTACGTAGCATAGTGAATTTACCATTTTAATGTTGGCCACACTTAAAGAATTTATATTTCAAATCAGACCATTTGTTTCTCAAACTTTTTGAAGGTTAAGAAGAAAAGTCCTTTTACGAATTAGGAAGTGGAGGTCTCAGAGGGATTACATGAATTTCACACCAAACTAGCTAGGTCCTGTGACTCCACATCTTAATGCTCTTTCTACTACAAAGAAGAGTTGTCTATTTTTACATCTTTTAGAAATTTAAATAAACTGATACTTAATATTTTGTGGCCTTTAATTGTGCATTTAATCAGATACTACTTAGGTCAACAGATTTTTATAACAGCTCCCTTTATAATCTTTTATCTTTTCCGTAAACATACCTGATGGTACTTTTTAATAAAAGTTCAAAACAAACCTCACTTGACTTATATCCCATTTGGGAGTTAAACTCAAATTCTACCTTTTAAAACATTTCCTAAATATTTCAGCTTTCAAAATCTGTACTGTATTCTTTGGCGCTTAATTGTATTGTCCTTTTTAAACCGCAGTTTCATTTGTTGAGTCCTCTAATACTCTTAGGGCAAAGATGATAGCTTATACCATAACTACACCCTTCCCCAAGTGCTGAGCGTATTAGACACTCAGACATTTATTGATTTTGGTAACATCTTTGCTAAGAATCTAAGTCACTTGCTATAGAGGAGAGCTAAAGAAACAAAATTTTAAGTGAGTAGTTCTTTCCCCCTATGCTATATTATTAATTAATTCTAATTAGGTTAAGCCAAGGCTACCTAGCTTACCTCCACCACTCTACCAGAACATTTTTCTGTGTCTTTCAGAATAAGTATGCCTCAGGTCTAGATTTGGAAACATACATGTTCACTGCATATACTGATCAGTGTTTCTGCTGATTGAAATTATCAGTGATACAGCTTTTAATCTCAACCCTTATAAACTGTAAATCATTATAACTTATATTTGCTTTTTGTGTCCAGCATATTGGAGAAAGAACTACATTACAATGGCTTGATGCACTACATTTTTGAGCCTCATCAGACTTTTGAACATGATCTGTCCATTTGTTCCTTAGGTCACCTTCCAGCAACAATTCCAGCCTTCACCACTCTGCTTACCAAATGACCAGTATACCTCTTACAGAGAACATGGAGGTTATAAGTGTGAACTCCCTCCATTTCTGGACCCCTTGCTATAACAGCATCTACTTATTCCAGCATCTACTTCACTACCTGTCTCAGTAAGGAGGCAGGTATACGCCTTCCTCCTGTACTCAGCATCTTCTCCCTTTTCACACCTCCTTGGTTTCCTTGTTCCAACAGTTAATAGCCCATCATTCTATCTCTTTCTTCCATAGCTTGCAGTTTGAATTCTGCTTAGAAACAGTTCTCACTGAAGTCTCCAATAAGTGTCAAATCAGACAGACACTTCATTTTTTCATGTGCTCTTGTGCCTCACCCTACTTCTTAAAATTCTCCTTTGGTCTTCCATGACACCCCTCTTCTGATTTACTTTTTGCCAGACCAACTCTTCTTTTTTAGCCTACTTTGCTTTCCCATTTAATATTAGTACTTACCAAGATTCTCTGGGGCTCTTTTCCTCATAGAGTAGTTCTAAGAATTAAATGAGTTAATACGTTCAGGATTTAGAACTAGTGCCTGGCATATGGCAAGCAGTCTATTAAATGTTTACTATTATGATTTCACTTCAACCTAATTGTTTGATGATCTCTTCTGTGCATATGGTTTTTCCTAGCAAATCTATTGTTCTAGCCTAGACTTTAAGTTTTAGATGGGTTTATCTAACTGCCTACTGGCTGTTTCCTCCTGAATGTCCAGTTGAACTCTCTTCTGCCTAAAATCTGTTCCTCTTAGTTCAATAAATGACATTACCAGCAACCCATTACTTATGCCAGAAGAAACCTGAGGGCCATTCTAGACACCTTACTTCCTACATCAAGTCATTCACCAAGTCCTATTGATGATACCTTCTAAATAGCTTCCTTTCCCATCCTCCCTACCCTCCTTACTGCTTTGTCTTATCAAGCTTCCCTCTAGTCTCTTTTCTGTGCTGCCAGCTGAGAGCTTTCTAAAATGCAAATTTCATCACTCCCTTGCGATTGCTTTAAATTCTTCAGTGGCATCTCTTGCTAAAAAGATGAGTCCACAGCATAACATTGAAAGTCCTCTGCCTATGTCCCAAGCCTTATTCTGTTGCCACTCCTCTTTTATGCATCTCTGGGCTACAGACATATTGACATATCTCATTTTCTCAGATTCCAGGCACCCACACCTCATTGAGCCATTCCATTGATGGTTTCTCTCTGGACCACTCTCTTTCTTCACCTAGATTTGAGTTCACTTTTATTTACTGAATTAGAGGTGACAGACAGCAAAAGAAAAATTCCTGAAATAGGCTTGAAAACCACTCAGGGTGAGGAGTGGTCTACTGTGGGTGAACTGGGAGTGTAAAGTCTGAAAAGTATACAGTATATAAAGGCAAGGGTAAGGGGAGAGGAAAAGGAATCAGCAATGGAAATAAGGACTATTCATGGAGAATTAACAGGACAGATGAGGTAACATTTTAAGATATGGTGGGCAACAGTATATCAAGTGCAGCAGGAAGGGCCAAGTAAATAAGGCCAAAGAAGAAGCCTCTGAGATTGCTGATAGTGACAATAAAAGGGCAGTTCCACTGGGGGCTGGCTGTGAAGCCGGAATGTAAGAGATGGTACGCTACCCACGGCTTGCTTCTGACACCCTGCATACTTTACTCAGGAGAGTACATCTTGATCACTATATAAGCAAGTCATATTTAATTATAAATAGAGAAATTTTTTCCCAAAGATAAAATTTTGGCTTTGGGGTTATTTATCAAGCAACTTATGATCCTTTAAGTCTCCTGGCCTACTTTATGAGGGCACTACAGTGCACATTATTTTTGGGAGGCAGAAGTAGGCCTGCTTTTAGTTTCACTGTCATCACAACTTTTCCCTTTATTATAGCTTTTGACCATTGACAGTACAAATCCTCTGTGGTTGTGATTCATCTGTTCCTCAGCGCCTTTGTTATACTCGTCCTCCATAATTAAAACCTGTTACATTCTGTAGGAACTCAGTGCACAGTGACGCCAGTCTTAACGAGAATGAGAAGGTACTGTTCACCCTTCGCAGGAACACTGATTTGCCTTCTCTGCATCACACCTCTAAACCTTTAAAAAACTCAGGGGCAGCAAGGAGATTTATTTGATGTGTATCCACTTTGCTTTTTAAGCACCCATAACTATTGATATTTTTGAACACTGCAACTCAGCAGTAATGCTGTGACTTGAGGACTTAATAGATTACAACTTCCAAAGTGAGAACTTTCAAACAAAACATGATTGTTTAATGCAAAATACTCCATATCAAAAAGAAAACTGTGAATAGGCTGTAAACTAACAGTTATGTTCTCCCAAGAAGTTTCCTCTCATCCCATTGTAATATAACTTTGAGAAAATGTCTATTTCAGAAGACTTTCTTTAATGAACTGATGCTGTCACTGTCATAAAAGGTGAAATACTAAGCCATTTTACATAATCTGCCAATTAATTCTGAGTTGTAGGACATTAATTCACTGTAATAGTGTTACCTTTGCCGCACATTAGAATCACCTGGAAAGATTTAAAAATCCTGTTGCCCAGGCCACACTTCATCCCAATTAAATTATAATGTATGGGAGGGGAAGCCAGACATCAGTAGGTTTTAAATATCTCTAGGTATGATTTCGCTGTGTAGCCAGGTTTGAGAACCACTGCCCAATGTATAGATAGATATATTGTAGAGATAAAATAAGGAAAGCATTAGATTTAGGGATTTGTGTCTTAACCTAAGCTCTTCTAAAATGTCCAAAGGAAAAAGGTAGTTTGAAATATATCTATTATTACAAATGGCTTCTAAAAAACTTACATACTGTACAAAATTTCATTGATTCTAAAGCCTTTTTCTCACATTCAACATCTCTTTAATTAGGATGAGTGTTTAGAGTCTTATGAAACTGTACACCATGTTAATGTGCCTTGTCCCTTACAAGACATTATTTTGGAAAGCTATATACTAATGCCAGCAATGCTACCTTGTTCAAAATACTTTTGGATTGCTTCTTAGAGCAGAATCTAAAATTTTAAACTATTTAATAGAGACGAGTTTCCTGCTGAGGAAGATTTTAGTTTTAGAAATAGCCAAGTCACTGGAGGTTAATAAATTGATGTGAATCAAACTAGGTAATGCCATGTTTGGTTCAAATTGAGATGTGGCTATAAAGTTCACGCTGGTTTTGAGGCCTTCATAGAACTGGATATGGAAGCTGTTCCAAAAAGTTTCAAAATATTTTTGAGCAGTGGCAGCAGTAACTCAGATTTGTTTTGAAGTGCAAATCAGAGATTTAATGCTTTAAGAAACCTTAGAGATTTTCTGGTCTATTCCCTGTATTATAAATAAATAAACTAAGGGTCAGAAAAACTTTGACTCATCCGTTTAGTTGAGCTGGTCAGTGGCAGACCTAGAAACAGAACTACTGCTCTGGCTCCCACTTTAGTTTTAGGTTCAACCTCCATTTCCTGCCATCCAAAAAAATGGGCTTGGGGGAGGGTGCAGCAAGGTTAGTTTCTGAATGAGCCTATCTCATCATGTAATGATCCTTGCTTTCTCACAAACTAAATTTTAAAATGCTGCAGAATTTTGCTGTGTGTTCTCTTCAGGTTTACCAGTCTATGGGAACCAAAATCAAATGTCAGAGATATATTCTCTGTAAATGGAGTTTACAGTATTGTTTTAGAAACGTCTCACAAATCTATGTGGTTGACCGGGCAGCTATGATGCTATACTCCGTGGATGAGAAAACCGAGGCCCTAGATGGAGTGACTCGTTCAGAGCCACACGGTCACAGATGAGTTTCTTCACTTAGAGCCTGTGAATGTCCACGTATTGCTTTTTTTCTCCCCTTGTTTTATAAGCCCAAGCTCCAGGCCTCTGCCATTCTGGTACCCATCCACTCTAGATAAACGCCTGTGCGATATTTTTATACATGTGATTAAAAAAAGAATTCATCAGAGCTTCTTATGCAAGTACATTCGTTTTTTGGATGACTTTCCTTTTTAAAAATTGAGATCAATTATGATTATGAGCGTGTTTTTATTTTCTCTCAGAATTTAAATCTTAGAAATCTTTCCTCAAGTCTAAGACATCTAATTATTTGCAACATTCCCTTCATTATTATAAACTCTTGGATGTTTTTAAAAAATGGTTCGAATACAGAATATTTGCATCAGTTTCTTCCTTTAGTTTGAAACACTACTAGAATAGTTGTTTGTATTGCTTCCTTTAAAAAAAGGTACAATCAAAAGTATGCAAACAGAAGCAGATGTTCTTTTGGCAGAACTACTTTCGCGTCAGAATAACTGAAATCCACTCTGTCAGCCACTATATCTCGCTTCTGTTCTATATTGTATGTGTACTACAAAGGTATGTGACTTATGTGTTTGGCCATTTTTCATTTAACAGATCTCTTCTTCCTCCACAATATACTTTTCTCCCCATTTGTACTCACTCAAGGCCACAGGAACATGGTTAGTGGGGAAAGAGGTGACCACTTTGGAGTCAACACAGACCTGAATCCTGGCTCCGCTACTATTATCTGTCACTTTGGTCAAATTGTTTGACCTTTTGAGCCCCATTTTAAATTAGGAGTTGTTGTAAGACCACATGTAAAGCTCTTAGAACCAAAGGTAAGGAATTCAAATGTTACTTTCTTCGTATGTATACACCATTATTTGTTTAAACAAATGAGGTGGTCATTCCTACCACCTTATAGAGTGGGACCTACTGAAACATGGATTGGAGGAAGAAAATCCATGATCGATCACTCACTCTCCAAATCTGCACAATTTACCTTCTTAGACTCTTACTATAAGCACAATAAAAATATGGGATATAAAGGGAAAAGCTGAACCAAAAGGTACATAGGGATGGAGTAAGAGAAACTCAGTAATGGAACATACTTAAAAATGTACAATACAGACTTGTTATTTACCATTATGCCTCAGGTTACTCTGACAGTCCATGAGGCAATGCTGTCTACAAAGACAGACTTCAGGGGAAGTAAAAATAAAACATGAAGTGCAATCCAACAAGGTTTATGTACTCCTAAAAAACTCTCACTGTTTACATAGAATGCTCGCATAATTACATTTTAAATGAAGACAAACACAAAAGCACCAGATGACAAAAGCACATTGAAGTAAGTGCTTAGCTTACTGCTGCTGTGGTAACGCTGAAGGATAGCTCCTAAGCAGAGTTCCATGTGGGTTTCCCCCACCTCAGTAATTTACAGGCACGTTTCAATCACATGTTCATACTTCCAGAGGCCTTTCTGCTCAGTGGCGTTCCCGCCCACCTCTAGCCCCACCCACAACCCATAGCCTGTTATTTGATATGCTGGTGAGCAACATTTAAAATTCAAACATTATTTTGGCTTTGATTCTCATCTAGATTTGCTTGCTTAATTAAGGCTGTCATAATTTCTCTTCAGGTTCATGTACTTTGGGGTAGGTAAACAATCTTTAATACCTGTTCAAATAAGTATTCTAATCAGTATTCTGCTTCTCAACAACAGATGATTACCACTAATCATGCTAAGATTTGAATGAAATGGCACTTGGTACAGATGTTCTTCCTGCTTGCTATTCCTTCCAGGTAGCCCTGTGAGTTGGGGTACACAATGTGTTGAAAAGCTCATTTGTTTTGAAAAGTGGTTCCAATGCAGAATATCTGGGTGAACCATTTTGGGGAACTCCAGCCTTGGCGCTGAGAGATACCACACAAGCAGAGCACAGGTGCCTTCAGTGCGCGGCTATGGATCCCCCTTTGTCCACCTTAGAAATGAAGGTGTGTGTGTAAATGGATAGTGCAGGCTGCCACATTAACAGTATTAAAAGATCCAGTCTACTCCCAGGTTCTTTTTAGACTAAAAAGACAAGATAATAAAAGTGGTAGCTTTAAAAGACCATTTATTAATCTTAAATATTTACAACTCAAGGATTAAAATATTTATTAATTACCAATAGGTTATTTGCTGGGATTTTGTTTGCAAAGGGCTTCACCTGTTATCTTTACCTTGTTTATTTCTGATGGAAGAGAATTCCAGGTTGCTTTCTAACTTTTTATATTCTTCTTTCTATCAGTCACCTGGCTGAAATTTCAATGACAGCCTCATTAACAGACTTTCTAGTTTCCCACCTCTGAAAAAAAGGTCCCACTAACTTCCTTAGCCACTGCCACGTAACAGCTCCTAAATAACCTATTGTGAAAAGCACATTCTACTACAAATAACAATGACATTGAGTGACCTCAAATATATACCAATAGCATTCCAATGGAAAACTATAAATGTGTAACAGTGATTAAATAATGAAAACCGATCGGTCATGGAATCTCTTCAAGAAACACAATGGGGAACATGGAGGCACAGCAAGGATTATTTATGAAGAATGTATCAAGGAGACCTGATATTATTTCCACTTAAACAACAAACTAAAACGCTTCCAGCCTAGATAGTTCCTTCGCACACTACTATTTTGTTAGACCCCAAATAAAAACATCTTAAAGCTTTAAGAAAATTACTATAAATTACTCTATAACTTATGTTTTGCATGGTTTTAAAACGTTCATAATGCTATATTAATTTTACATGAAGATATAAAAAATAAATATTGCCATGCATGTCTTGTTGACATTTAAAAAACCCACAAATAAATAACTTGAAATGCTGTCTAAAGAAATTGCTCCTGCATACTTATTGTTAATTATGGAGGACTCAAGCAAATCTATTTTTATATAGCATCCTCAGACTGAAAAAGCTTCAGAACAAGCCTAATTTAATGCCCTTAAATGATCAAAATGTAATGCTAAGAAGGGAAAGAAAACACAAGCCAATACTGGAGTGCAAACACCTTTCTCGCTGTAGGTCTTAATGGAAAAGGTTTGTGAACTAACTAAGGGGATTTCCTTCCCAAGGGCATGCTGGAAACGAGGAAAGTAAAGTGAGAGAAACTGAGAATCCTTCCTCAGGCAACTTCTTATCCTATTTCAGTTTCCTGAAACAGCCCTGGTTAAGACTCTTGCGACTAAAAAGACACAGACAAGTGTTTATAAAAGTCCATCAGGTTCCTCATTAAAGCTGAAGTCACAGACTAGAGACAGGTGGTCTGAAGGATAATTGAAGGATGGTAGCCGGTTGGGTCCAATCTGTTCTTCCGTGAGCAAATCAAGAGCTGACCTCACACTTAGAGCGTGTTTGGAATACCAGATATAATCCAGGGTGTGCCGGCACTCCCCTGAGGTCCGGATCTTCCAGGTAGTGTATGGAGGTTCCGACTGCCCATCAGCACTCAGCAGCTTGTAGGCGCTGTTCAGATTGAGGCTGGAGGAGGCAAAGTGTTTGTAGACCTCCTCTGTTGGCTCTGCATTGAAGTCCCCACAAACAATAAGGGGAATCTTGGCTCCTTGAGTGATGTTCTGCAGGTTCTGGAGAAGGTCACAGCCTTGAGCTGATCGAAATCGCTCCCAGCCAGTACGTGCTTTTAAGTGGGTGACAGCAATGCAAAACTGTCTACTGGACTCCTTGCACTCTAGGGTCTGTGCAATGGCCACCTGATTGGTTTTCAGTGTCATGGCTGTCAGCCTAATATTGGCACTATTGACTAGCTTGAATCGGTTTTGGAGAAAGAACAAGGCACAACCATCTGGTCCATTGTTGTGCTCTACATCTAGACAAGGTGACCAGGGCTTGGGGAAGAACGTGCCTTGATAGCCCAGTCTACTGAGGAGTGGTTGGAAGGTGTCAAAATAGTGGTCCACCTCTTGGAGGCACAATATATCGGGCTGGTAGGCTAGGATTTCTTCTAGGATGAGACATTTCCTTTCTTCCCACTTGAGCGCTTCAACAGGGCACTGTACAAAGTTGTCTTTGCCTTCTCCAAGAGCTGAAATAAAAAAGCCAGGCAGTTGTCAGCTAATGCAGAACCATGACTGCTAAGTACCTGGGAGTCTCCTTATGTTTGACACTACTCAAGCCCCTCAGAATGCTTCCTCTGCTTTAGATGCTCCGGGTGATTCTTCTCTGTCTAAACTGCATTCGCTTAACCTCTTACCATCCAGATGAAGCAAGCAACTTATTTTCTTTCATAGTAAAACTATTTCATGTAACTGTATTCTAGGACATAAGGTCTTAGATTTTAGCCTTAAACAGTGTTCTTTGCAGTCCTGGGATCTAAACTATGTCAGATGAAATACATATATTTAACTCTATAATACTGCTTTCACCACTGACCATAAGAGCCGTAAGAACTGACAGAGACACCACTCAAAATGAATGGGACCTATTTTAAGTGGGTAGCTTTTCCTACTTATGGATGAACACCTGGAAAAAATTAATGAATCAAAGATTGGAAAGTCAAGGAGTACGCCCTTCTTTTCTAGGGGAAAAAAAGTGGCCCTAGTTTCTTAAAATTTTAATTGCTACATGAGAGGCAATACTAGATAAAGTTGAGTGGCACATCTGTGTTTTAATTCAGTAGACCCTGGAAAGGAGTCCTTTCTACCATAACAAAGTAATAGAGAACTGAAGCAACGTCTCTTTGGCCTCAATTTACTCAGATGTGTCTGGCCCCAAGAATACCCAGACTAACCAGTACTGTCACCCAGCTCCCATTCCCTGCCGAAAGTTCTATGTTGCCCATTCAGTAGACTCAGTTTCTCCCTTGCAAATGCTATCTTACTGCTGTGGACTGAGAGCTGCAGACAACAAAGTTTGAGGCTGATAAAAGACAGGGTCCTTTAAATTTAGATGTGCTGGGAAGCAGACAGACTTTCATTGCACTTGGACAGCCTACAAACACGGAAGGTAAGAAATAAATCTTGAGTTGCCAGATTTATTATTGAAAACCAGATGACTCCCTTTCCTAACCTCCCCTTCTGGGAGCTCCTCATGTTGCCCTAGTCACCCATCCGACGCCTCCATCTGCCCACACCTCTTCCCTCCACATGAGACATCAGTGCATTGAGCATGTGCAGAGGCAGAAAGGCAGTCACCAGAACTCAACTGCTCAGGCACAGAAGCATCGGGCATACCTTGGGCGAGGATGTTCCACTGCATGACCCTAATAGGTGGGTGGCTACTGGGGCAATCTGTCCTCAGATCCACAAAGTCCCTCTGGAACCGGGGAGGTCGAGTGTGCAGGACAGCCCTGCATTCCTCAAGGAGCTCTTTAGGGTCAATGGGCTCCAGCTGTTCTGGGTCAGGTGACACCAAGTACTCTGGGTGCTGGGAGGCAGCGCTGCTGTTCAGTGTCTTGGCGAGAGCACTATAGAGTCTGCTCGTACCGTTTCCCATGGAACACGCTACGGGAAAGGAAAGCACAGTTACACACTCAGCTCCTTTTCCTGCCTTTCTTCCAGAAGATAAAGCATTTTCTGTCCATCGAAGCCAAGAGCTCAATTTACAGCAATGTTGCCACGTTCACATAAAAAGCCATTCTGCAGAGGTGGATTAAAGGAGTTTCCAGGTTTTAACTGTCTCCTAGGACAGGTAATTGAAATACTACTCTTAAAATTGGTCTCTGATTAACTAAGATAATTATTTCTTTTAGGGGAGAAACACCTTGATGTTTATGACCTCTTCTAACCTAGGATTTGTCTTTATAAACTCAGTCTTATGAAAACATGGCTAGACAAAATCTACATTCCTTTTCTATATATTTTAATAAGAACTTGAATACCAGTTTGTAAAGAGCCAGATGTTAGAAAGCCTGTTAATCCTGGAGAAGAGATTAGGTTGTTGCAGGCTGCTGCTCCAGCCATGTCATCCATACAGATCCCTTTGTGTTGAAATGGCTGGATTCAATCCATAACCCAATTCTCTTAGATCTTAACTGTAAATCAGGGCTCTGGCTTTCTATAGAACTCTGAACATCAGTGAGCAATATAGTCAAATATCAATTGTCAGATTTTTTAAAAACAAGAAAAGGGGTTCGGAGGGAGAAGCGGCAGTTGCCCCCATTTCCTGGGATCCTGGAAGGAGAAAGGGTGAGGAGAGGTGCAGGAGGCACACTGGCTTCAGTGCACTTTCTAGTGTTCCATGTTTTACCCTAATAGATTATAATCCACTAAGATCAGGGCACAATCTTCAACTCATTAGCATGAGGAAAGTTGTACTTGTCATCTCACTTGTAAGCACTTGACTGCTCTTTTAGAGATCAACCATGTTTTGTCTTCATTATAGAATAAATTAGGGGCAAGTTTTACTTGGAACAACTTCCAAGATTCTGTACATGACGAATCTTGGTATGGAAGAATCTGGACTTCCTTCCCATATCCATATCCTTGCCTTGAAAGATACAAAGTTTTCTTTATAAAATACATTGTCAGGCTAATTGCATCTGACTGAAACTAGCAATCAATCAAATTCACTGTGGCTGGTCACAAAAGCAAATTCAAATATTTACCACCAAAAGTCCTTAAGCATTGAAGTCAGTAAGCATGCAAGCATGCTCTCTATTATTTCCTTTCATCAACTTGAAGTAACTTTTATTCCCCAGAAAGAAAACTAGATTAAGGCAAAGAAACACAAACTACTTTCCCCCAACGTACATTTAAATGTTACGTGCATCTGCAAGCTTGTTCTTTCTGACACATGCACATGCACAAATGCACGCACACTCCTGTTTCCGAAATGTTTGATGTGAATATATTAAATTCTTTTTAACTAATCTGAAAGAAATTTTCTTCTTGGCTGGAAGTACAACTTTGAAAATCTTGCTTCTGAACTTCTAGTTTAAAAAAAAGCAGTTCAAGTTCCTACAGGTTTCTCAAGCATGGTTTCCAGATCAGTAGCATCAGCCTCACCTGAACTGTGGACCAAAGTGTCACAGGGCACCAGAGCAAACTCACAGGGGCACCCTGGGGCATTTCGATTGGAAACAAACAGCAATATTTGACATCTGTCAGGCTCTAGGCAAACTACTAGCTTGATGTAGTTCAGTTTTAAGAGGAAGGCCCCACATCCTTTTGATGACATATCTTTGCCAAGCTGAGTTTCGGGGTGGTTACTGTGATATAAAGCAATACCATGTGAAAATGAATGTGAAAAAGGGAATAGTGTCCAATAGGAGTCCAAGGTTTGAGGAGTTATGTGAAACCAGAAAACCTATCCTGGACCACACTTTCTTCTAAAAATTTAGAAAACCTTCACATAAGGAGAATAAGGAACAGTATAACATCCCTTCAGACAATGAAAGCATGCCAGAAAGACATGCCCAAAAACCACATCAAAACTGTATCCTATTGTAAAATGAGCTAATGGTCATTAAGAAGATGACAGAATAGCTTAAATCAGAAAACTCAGAAATGAGGCAACAAAAGGAATTAGTAACAAAAAGGAAACTAGGAGATAAACATTTGAGAGACACTGGCAAATGTTGTGTGCTTATTTTAAGCAAAGAAGATCCAACATATGGTTAACAGGAGTTCTTGTAGTTAAACCAATGCAAGAAATGAAACAAATACTAAAAACCATAGATCAAAAAAACTTTTAAGACCACAAAGTTTCAATCATGCAAGACAAATTAAGTTCTGGGGAGCTAATGTACAGTGTCAGCATAATGACTATAGTTAACGACACTGTATTGTACACGTGAGACCTTCTGAGAGAGGAGACCTTAAGTGATCTCACCACACACACACACACACACAAAACTTAACTATGTGAGGTGACAGATATGTTAATTAGCTTGATTGAGGTAATCATTTCACAATGTATATGTATATCAAAACAAGGCATAGTACGCTTTAAATATACACAATTTTTGTTAATTATACCTCAATAAAGCTGGATAAAAATAAAATGGTTTAAAAGAAAAATAATTATGAGGTTAAAAAAACATGTATTGTGGATATATTCAAACATCAATACATAAAGGTCTGCCTTTGTTACTCTAAAAAAAGAAAAAAGGAAAAAAAACACTCAAAAGAAAAAAAGCCCAATACAATACTTGAAACTACATATTGAAAAACACATCACATACCTGAGAATACCAACCCAGAATGACCAACACCAATTGACTGTAAAGAAAAAGAAGAATATCCCTTGGGCATCTAGGAAAACCAGCAAGTAACTTACAAGGAAAATAAAATTAGTGCATCACCAGACTTCAACTGCAATGTTTTATGCCAGAAGTAAATGCAGTTACATATTTGAAATATACAAGTCAAACTTCATCTATGGGGCTCATCCACATGTGAGCCAAGGATTTTATATCCCCCAAGAGCTCTTCCTGAGGAAACTACAAGAGCAGAGGTCGGCAAACTGCAGCCAGAGGTATTTTTGTACAGTCCTCGAGCTAAGAATGGTTTTAAAGGGTTGTTACACACACACACACACACACACACAAATATGTGACAGGATCATTTTAGGCCCTCAAAGCCTAAATGTTTACTATCCAGCTCTTTTCAAAACAATTGTGGCATCTCTGGAACTAGAGAACAAGCTTCAGACCAAAATGACCAGCGAGACGGTGATGTAAGAACTCGTGGTGAGCATCAAACATACAAGCACTTAGAAAATCAAGTCTAAATGAGGCTCAAAGACAGAGTACAGTATATAGTGCCTATGTGACCCAACAACAAACATATGAAGGTTTAGTACCACCAAAAAAAGCGGGGGAGACAGCGGGGGCCAGAATGAGGAAAGCATATTCAATTAAAGAATTTTAAAGTTTCCAATGATCATAATTAGTAACGACAGTACTATTATTCTGAGACTGCTGTGTGGCTTAAGGTGAAGCAAATTGGATAGTCTAATTCCATCATTTCCTGTCGTCCTTTTTTTGGTTTAGTTTTGGAAATGCACTTATAGGCTATTAGCTACAACACTAAAGGAAAACATTCTTGTTAAAGCCAGCTCATTTTGGACCAACAGCAGATAATGAGATCTGATCACCCACCTCATTGGTGACTCGGCCTCTGAAAGACTTTTGGTGGCTTTCAAAAATGAAATCTTCCCTCAGCAGACAAAGCTTTGCAGCAAACAAGCTGCAGCATGGCTAAGTACTAAGGCCTTGAATGGGATGGGCAGCAAAAGACCACTTCTAGTCCCACAGCTATCACTCTTTAGCTGTGCTCCAATTCTCCAGACCTGCTTACATATCTTGAAAATGAGAGCTTGTTAAGTGATCATAATTTCTTTAAGATTTTTTGGAAGGGGGCTAACCCCGTGGCCTAGTGGTTAAGTTCGGCGTGCTCCGCTTTGCAGCCCAGGTTCAGTTCCCCGGTGTGGACCTACACCACTCATCTGCGGCCCACGTACAAAATAGAGGAAGACTGGCACAGATGTTAGCTCAGGGCGAGTCTTCTTCAGCAAAAAAGATTTTTTGGAAAATGCACCCAGGTTAGAACAGCCAGCAACTTCAAAAGAACATCTCTATTATTTGCACTAGAGACACATATATTTCTCTCAATTAAGAAAACCTTGCATGTATCATTCAGAATAACTTCCATTCCTCTTATATTTGAGACAAGAATGGACAAATCTGTTAGGTGTGATAATACTACTCAGGTATGGAATGTGCCGAAAATTTCCTTTTACAAAAAGTTTTACTGGCACAGACTTCTGCTCTTATTTCACTGTAGATTCATTCACCCAAGAAAGATGTCATTAGGCTAAAGTTTGAATAAGAGACTAGGTAGAGGGGAACTGTTAGGGAATATTTACTCTAGGCCTGTCTCTGCTCCTGAGATCTTACAGGAAACTGAAGGTGGTCCCCATGATGGACTGATGCGAACCTGAACACCAGATTATTCAGCAACAGAGTGACCCAGGCCATGCCTTCTAATACTGATGTACCTGAGAAGCTGATTTATCAATCAGCCTGTTGTACAGTAAGCATGAAATCAGGAGAGAGACGCAGATGGTCCTGAAAGACATGTCCACTAGTCCACCCTCCCAGACAATGAGGGCCTCCGATGTGCCAGGCTCTGTCCTCACTGTGCACTCTGCAGTGTCCTCTCGGGCGGTGGTCACTGGCAAAACTCTTCCTAATCTAATCTCACAGTCCTCAGGGACAATCTGTCTGCAGTATGTTAATTGTACATTCTCATTTCCCTATTCTCTGACTTTCAGGATGGGCGCTTCATGCCAATAAAAATACGTGTGATCTTTCCCTTCATGAGGTTAATAAGTGTTCGGAAAAAGATTAATATGCATGAACTAACGAGAGAAAAACTGAGTGTTTACTATGTAGAATGGGCTTGGGTGTAATAAGGGTTAAAACAATCAGGATGGATAAGAGTAATCAGAAAGACTTCACAGAAATGGGACTTCAGACATGCAGCTCTGAATCCTGACTACCACTTATGTGGTCCATCATAGGCAGCCCCATAACCCCGCCACACTCTCTCAAACACACCGACACACTCGACACCAGACACTACTCTAGCCCACGGGAGATACAGCAGCAAACAGAATGAAATCTGTCCGCGTGGAGCTTCTGTTGTAGCGGGAGAAACAAACAAGACAATGAATAGTTGGCCATATAGTGAAATGTGCTGTGGATCAAGGAGGCAGAGAGCGCCAGTGAGCAAGGAGGCGCTACTTCATATAGGAGGCTCCAGGAAGGAATTTGAGCAGAGACTGGAAGGTGGCGAGGAAATCAGTTAAGTCTTATGGAGAGCCAATGGAAGAACACTCCGGACAGAGGGAACGGCAAATGCAAAAGCCCTGAGAAAGGAACATGCTGGGCAAGGCTGGTGAACAGCAAGGGGATTAGAGTGATTTACAGAAGGAACAGAAGATGAGGGCCATGAGGCAGTGAGGACAGGGGAGTGGATGGTGTAGGGCCTTGCAGGCCACTCTAAGGACTTCAGCCTTTATTTGAGATGGGAAGGCACTGCAGAATTCTAAGCTAGAGTGAGAATCCGATTTACGTTAAAAAACAATACCTCACTGGCTGATGTATTAAAATACACTAAACTACAATAATCAAGGCAAAATACAGTGGTAGCTTGGACTCGTGGTAGCAGTTGAAGTGGTTGGATTCTGACAACCTAAAATTGAAGCCAACAAGTTTGTCTGATGACTTGGATGTGGTTTGGGAGAGAGAGTAGTCAAAAAGGTCTGCAAGGTCGCCGGCTCAACAACTAGAAGGATGAAGTTGCCAATCCCAATACAGTCAGGACGATTTGGTGGGGTCTGCAGAAAACAGGAGTGTGGCACTGAGATACGACTCATGTTCAGGAGAGAGGGGCAACGTGGAAATAAACAGGTGGGAGATGTTCGCGGACAGAGGAGACTCAAGTGAGATTAGAGAGAAAACAGGTCACAGGACCGAGCTCTGGGGCAGACCAGGGAAGATGTGGTGAAAATCTGCAAACATCACAAGGCCAGAGAAGTCGGAGAAAAATGAGAAGAGTATGATCTTCCTGGAAAGAAGGTAAAGAATGAGTTTCATCCATGAGGTGGTAATCTCCTGTGTCAAATGCTACCGATAGTTCAAGGAAAACCAAGGCTGTGAAAACGGAGCCGGATTTAGCAACACGGAACACTTTGGTGACTTTAACAATAGTGATTTCTGATTTTCAGTGGACTTATGAGAAGAAGAGGAAATAGTATAGAGTAGAGAAGTATTTTGAGGAAATTTTGCCCCCAAAGAGGAGAGAGAGGGAGTAGTGGCGACACAGTAGAGAGGAAAAAATGATGAAGCAGGGGACTTCTGGCATGATGGCATGAAGAAGCCGACAAATCCTCTCCCCAAAAAGCAACTATAAACTCGCACAAATCTGTCAAAACCAAGCATTTCAGTGCTCTGTATGGACACCAAGGGCATAAAACAAATATATCAAACTTCAGGTAAGAACACTGCTGGTCTGTCACATTCCTGCCCCTCCCCTTCAGCTCTATGAGAGCAGTTCAACTAGGGCAGCAAAGATATTGAATTATTAATCTAAAATCTCACAAAGAAAAGCCCAGGCCCTGATGGCTTCACTGGTTAATCTATCAAATATTTCAATAAGAAATAATACCAATCATTCACAAAACCCCATTTATTGCTTTCCATGTATAGCCACTCTGGAAGACAGTTTGGCAGGTTTTTTAAATAAATTAAACACAGACTTACCATACAGCCCAGAACTCCCTTCACTGTGCAAATGGACAAACTGTGGTACATCCATCCAAAGGATGAAATAGCATCCAGTGAAGGAACAAGCTGCTGATTTGCAAGACTCATCCATACAACATGGATGAATCTCAAATGCATTCTCTATGTGAAAGAAGTCAGATCCTAAAAAGTACATATTGTATGATTTCGTTCATATGACATTCTGGAAAAGGCAAAACTATAAAGCTCGCAGGTTGCCAGGGGGTGGGGGAGGGAGCTGTGGCTGATTACGGGGATTTTTAGGGTGATGGATCCGTTGTGTACAGTACTAGGGTGGGGGATGCATGACTCTATGCATTCATCAAAATCTACAGACCTATCCATCACAAAGAATAAACTTTAATGCATGCAAATTTAAAATAGCAACCAGGAAGTGGAGGGATCTCAAGAGGGAATGCAGACTTCGACAAACGAATCAAACTGTATTACAAACGTATGACCATCTCACAGAGGGGGTTCAGGAAAAAAGGAGCTGTGATCTCAGTAACTCAGCTTGACACGTTCCCAACAATTTAAGACTTTCCTGGCAATATCGGTGGTGATATTAACTAATGTTATTTTTTTGTTATTGTCTAACACTTGGAAGATATGCATAACCCAGTTAATCAACATTCCCCAAATAACCAATACGAAACCATGTGGGGGTAAAAGATCCATTCAAAGTACCAGACAAATCAATGGATTTTAACATAACAGTATAAAAAGCTCATTGATATGGTATCAGATTCCACATTGCAAATAACTATTAACATAGAAACTAACACAAAGAAGAATATCCACAATTATCTAAAAAGGCTGCTAAAATAGTTTTTTCCAACTACATATCTGTGAGAGAATAGATTTTCTTCATATACTTCAACCAAAACAATCTATCAGAAGAGCAGACTGAACGTGGAAGCAGATAAGAGATCCAGCTGTCCCCTGTTAAGTGAGACTCGAAGAAATTTCCAAAAACGTAAAACAAGGCCACTCTTTTCACTAATTCCTTTTTGTTTTGGAAAATATAGTTATTTTCCCATAAAAATGTTATTCATGGTAACAGTGATTTTATTATATTAAGTGACTTGATAAACATTTAAAAATTTTTGCAAATTTTATGTCCTCCTAACATGATGGATATCAATATATAACCCACACAAACAAAAGTTCTTTGGGGCCCTCGATATTGTTTAGGAATATAAAGGGATCCAGAGAACAAAAAGTGAGAGTTTCTATTCCAGATCAATCATCACCTAAGTCAAGGAGGGACACAAACAAGGCGATCCTCTGGGAAGAAAATGAGAACTTTATTTTTTTATCTAACAAAGATGAAATAAAACAATAGATTGATTCATAAAAACACAGAGCACACATCGAAATTTGTTCTAAACTGAGAGCATATGATGGCAACAGCTGGGAGCTCGCTGCTGGAAAGCTGTCTCCCTCCTGCTCCAGAGACTAAAACTATCTCTAAATCAGGGAGAATCTTCCTTTAATTCTGTCCTTATATTTCTCATATTCAACCTAGATTTTCTATACTTCAAAATCAGTCTTCTCGGGGCCGGCCCCGTGGCTGAGTGGTTAAGTTCCCGGGCTCCGCTTCGGTGGCCCAGGGTTTCGCCGGTTCGGATCCTGGGCGCGGACATGGCACCACTCGTCAGGCCATGCTGAGGCGGCGTCCCACATGCCACAACTAGAAGGACCCACAACTAAAATATGTAACTATGTGCTGGGGGGATTTGGGGAGAAAAAGCAGAAAAAAAAAAAGAAGGTTGGCAACAGTTGTTAGCTCAGGTTCCAATCTTTAAAAAAACAAAAAAAAAGAGCATATTTAAAAAAATATCTATTCTTCTCATAAAGGCATATTACTGAATCAAATCAGAAGGGATGGAGAAGTCCCGGGTCACTTCTTCCTATGTTCGGTTTTTCTCCCTGCTTCCAGTCCCGAGAACATATGGTCCCGAGAACATATGAGTTTACTCATTTACTTCTCAAGGCTCTATTCTCCAAAACTTTCTGGTGACACATAGACATCATTTCAAAGCAAGTGCAAAACCCCAGACCAGGGAATTAATAACTAAAAGTGAACACTATAAAGACTTCACATACTACTTTTGCACTTATAACACTGGGTGCCTTCATTTCTTGCATTATTAATACTTTACTGCTATTTTATTTCATAGGATTAAATAATTCTTCTCACCCTTATAATAGCCTTTAAAGATGTGCCAGAGAATTCAGATTATTTAGATTCCTGAAATCCAGTAGTATGTAAACTTCCCGCATCTTTTAGCCATCCCTTTCCTAAAAAACAAAGCAAAAGAGAAGTGGGCCAACCACTAAAATACAGAATATATGTTTACCCTTTATACTACCAATTACTACACACTTCTAAAGCAACAGGCAGACCACACTGTGGGTTCCAGGGTGCCGACCAGCAGAGGGCAAGGACCAGGTTTAACGAAACCCCCTCATATCCGTAATTAGAATGCTGGATGAGAAGCTGACAGCCGAGACCCAGACTGCCTGCGCCACCCCTCCCAGGCAGTCCTAACAGCACTTAGAAATCAAGGCAGACACCTCTCCACATGACGCTTCTCCAGTTACCCAGCAAGGGCTTATTCTGGAGCTTGCCCAAACCATTCAGTTTGTGAATAATTTCCCTGACAATTAGTGTGAGTTTAGTCTCTTGAAATGGTGACTCGGCAAAAACGCTGATTAAAAACCAAAAAGGAAAGGAAAGCCAGGATTACCTGGGTACACAGCTGGGAAGCTGCTGGAGCTGACCAACCTTGGGCCCAAGATACCTCGACGAATAAGTACACAAAACTGTAAAGGACAGACGTCACAGGAAGGCATCACTGAGATAAGCCTTTGCTGCCATCTGCTGGCCCTGTGTTGAACCACCTCAGAGAGTTTAGACAGCTAATTCAGTTGCTAATTTTCAGTAGGCTTCTTAGAGGAAGTTCCAATAAATGTGGCCACCTTACGACAAGTGAGTGATAACACTTACAAGATAACCATCGACATTGACATAAAACAGCTGGGATGTTGAATACGTGGTATGTTTCATATTTACCGAAGAAATCAATAAATAAAGATTCACAGCCTCCATGCCTGCACAGCTTTATGAATCAAGCCCCCCAGGCTTCCTTTTTCCTACACCTGGGCTGCTTCTCTTAAGTTGCCCTGACAGTTGAACTACAATCCCTGTCCTTTACTCACCAGACAGTAAGCTCAAGGGCAGGACTTGGGTCTACCTTGTTTCCCACTTCCCGCAGGACCCAGCCCAGTGCCTTAAAAAACGCTGATAAAAGAAGGGATGACAAGTGACAGGAAAGTGACAGCAAACACTGCCGGAGGAATTGCCTCACACTGGTGGAGCACCTATGGGATGCTAAGCTCTTTCACCTGCCGATACCTGTTGCCCTCTCCAGAACTCCTTGGCTATTTTATAGTTGAGGACACTGAGGCTAGAAGTCTGCCTGGTCCTGAGTCACTATCACATGAACTCCATGCCTCTGTGCTGGTATGCACCCATCAGCTGGGAAACCAAAACTCAACACAGTGCAACAGGTCCCCTGCAGCTCCATGGGGTAAACGAACGTGACCGTCTCAAATTCTGCACGTGGGTGTGCGCTTGTATCAACTCCTGGGTCCTAGAGACTGGTTTCCACGTGCCAATTTAGGCAGATACTATTTTCTGGTGAGGGTCAAACATTTTAGTTAGTGACCAGTCTTCCAATTTCTGTTATGAGCACCCATGACTGAAGGTGGCAGGCATGCCCGGGGCAATTAGCAACAGAGTATGTTAGTACGTGACAGCCTTCCAGCTAAAGCTTCAACTTTCTCCCCAGTAAGATGAGGCTACAGTTAAGCAGGGGCCAAACAGTCATAAACATATGGACTCCAGTTAGGCTGCCTGGTTTCAAATCCTGGCTCCTCCTCTTACTAACAGGATCCTGAACAAATTATTTACCTCTCTATGCCTGTTTTTTTCATGTGGGGATCACTGGTAACCTACTTTACTGGGTTACTGCAAGGATTAAGCGAGTTAAATTAGATATACCTAGCACACCCTCAGTAGTCAGCTAAATGTTAGCTATTCTGTTACACTTGTGAAGCTCACGTGCTGGGTTCAAAGAGAATGCTATCAACATTTGAGAGCCCAGCACGTGCCGCACTACTTCCATGTATCTTCTTCACTCTTTCCAGCAGTCCAGCAAAGTAGGTATGGTATTCGCTGTTTTACAGACCCAGAGGCTGAGGTTAAGAGATTACACATTTTCTCAAGATTGCACAACCAGGAAGGGGTCTGGCCCTCGAGAACGGTACCTGCACCTTGGACTGCTGTGCATCAGCATCTCTGACAGGACTGATACTGAGTGAGTCAGGACAACTGCATGGGCCGGGCCACACAAAGGAATAAACAGAGGTCGAATTCCAGCGCCACCGTCTGTCGACGTCACTGCCATCACGGCATACACTCTGGCACCACACAAAGTGTACAAAGCAGTGCAGTGACCTGCACGGCATGACCAGACATATCAAGTGACGGTCACGACTCTCAACCTAACGTGTCTAAAAATACAAGCACCTAGACAGTGTGACAATCCAAACGACCTTTCTTTGCTAGGCAGCAAAGACTAGACAGGAACACTAAAGTATTTTCCAGACAAGGCTGAGCCATGCCTTCAGTCATGCCAGATTCATCCAGAAAATATCACTAAGGAAAAAGAAATCCCCCCACAATAAAAGCGTAGGTTAACACATTTAATTGGTGCTCACTTGTTAGCTGGCTGGCCAATCACTGCCACATGCTGGGCTTTTCTAGCAGCACGCTCTGAAGTGAAACGTCAAAAGGTAGAAACTAAGAGAATCTGGTGGGACAACTGTTCTCCACTAAGACGTCAGGTCTGTGTTACTTCATGATGCCCAAGAAAACGGTCCATTGTCACAGTTATGAATGGCAACATGAAAGCTAAAAGGAGAATTTTGCTGAGAGTACAGATTCCTCCCTTGGTATCAAGGGTCCACAAACTTCGGCCCGTGAGCCAAATCTGGCCAGCATCCTGTTTGTGTGCTGCCTGTGATCTTCTACATTTTTTAGTGGATGGGAAAAAATCCTAAGAATAATATTTCAGGGGCCAGCCTGGTGGTACAGCGGTTAAGTTTGCATCTTCTGCTTCGGCGGCCCAGGGTTGGCCGATTCGGATCCCAGGTGCGGACATGGCACTGCTTGTCAAGCCATGCTGTGGTAGATGTCCCACATATAAAGTGGAGGAAGATGGGCACGGATATTAGTTCAGGGCTAATCTTCATCAAAAAAAAAAACCAGAATATTTCATGATGTGCAAATTATGAAATTCAAATTTCAGTGTCCATAAATAGTTTATATATTGTCAATGGCTGCTTCCATGTCACAACAGCAGAGTTCAGTAGCTTAACAGAGATATACACCTCACAAAGCCTAAAATACCAGCTGGTTCTTTCAAAAAAGTCTGCAGACCCCTAGTCTAGATTATATTGAAATAAAATTGTATAGTCAGTTTACATATATTTCACAAAACCAATGAAAGATCTTCAGTCACTTAAAATAGGGGAAAACAATTTTTGTATATAAATTTCCACAGACTTTCTTGAATAATTAAGGTACAGGTAGGAAAAGAATCATCTTTAAAAATTGGCAAAGAAACTGTCAATGGTTTTAAAACCTCTATTCCTACGACTCATTTTTAAAACAGGAACTGATATTTGCATACAATCAGTAGGTCTTCCGTCATGAAGTGGAACATATGTTTACTGTCACTTCTTCCTAAGAGCTTTCAGGAATAAAGTACAGGTATTCAAGTTTTTTTAAAAGCATGAAACAATAATATGGTAAAACAAGAAAGAATGCCATCAATGAGTCAAAAACTTGGGAGAATTCCAGGAAGACAAAACCAGATCTGAATTAACAGAGAAACAAGAGTGGAGGCAAATGCAGTACAAGCTACCAAAGGTAAATACGGTTCTTCTCAAGGGAGCTGTGAACAAACACCAAGCTGAGTCAACAGAGACAAAGGGCAGGAGAAGCTGAGGGACAATTGTCGGGGTAATTCATTCAGGAACGGCATTTGAAACAGCTGCACACTAGTCACACCGCTTCCCCTCTCTCAGCCAGACAGAAGCTGGCAAGGGTGGCTTCTGCCTGCTGGAGACAGAACTAGAAAACACTTCAAAGAAAGTGGGCGGCCTGCCTTGGAAGGGCTCCCAGGGGTGATGGACCTGAAAGAGCAGCAGACCAGATCAGGAGCTAACTGTGGACCTCAGACATCTTTTAAAAGAAGGGTGAGGAGCCAGATTCCAGAACACAGAAAGAAGCCTTCCTTGGCTTGGCAAAGGCGGAGGCCTGCAGCCCACTCTCTCTCAGGCGTTCTACAGGAAGCCTGGCTGTCTACCCTCCACACAATTTTCCTACTGACACGGCAAGCAAATGGCTCTCCCCTTCAGGACACAGGCCTGAGGGAGAAACAGGCATACGTTATTTCCATATATTTAAAACTAAAGGAACAATATTATGGACACAAAACAATAGGCTGCTACAAAAAAGGAGCAATCAGAGAACTAGAAAATGGCTAGAAATTTAAAATCACTGCAAAAGAAATGTTCAGGGACTCTCATGAAATAAAGAAGAGATAAAGACATTAACAAATCAGAAAAGACACAGAGGATGGATCCATATGGCCAACAATCTGTCTAACGGGAGTTTAAGAACAGGAGAACCCAGAGACGAAAGAGCGGATAAAACAATCCAAGAAATAGAAATTTTTCCTGTGCTAAAGAAGGGTACGTCCTTAGATAGAATGGGCTCACCTGACGTGGAGACATGGATCTTGATGGAACTCTGAACACCAAAGATAAGAAATCCTATAAGCTTCTAGAGATAATACAAAGACATTTAAAACTCTGAGGAAAAATTTTTATTAATGGGCATGTGTTACTTCTGTAATTTAAAAAAAACTTTTATTCAAAAAAATCATCATGACGGGGCCGGCCCGGTGGCACAGCGCTGAAGTGCACGTGTTCCGCTTCAGCGGCCCAGGGTTCGCCGGTTTGGATCCCAGGTGCGGACATGGCAGCGTGTGGCACACCATGCTGTGGTAGGCGTCCCATGTATAAAGTAGAGGAAGATGGGCATGGGTGTTAGCTCAGGGCCGGTCTTCCTCAGCAAAAAGAGGAGGATTGGCAGCAGTTAGCTCAGGGCTAATCTTCCTCAAAAAATTAAAAAATAAAAAAATCATGATGAGATTTTTCCAAATAAAATTCAGAATAATGAACCACGTCAAAGAGAAATTTATTTTAGAATACACCTCAGCAAATCTGTGTGACCTCCAAGATTTGACAGATGAACATCGTCCTTCAGCAGTCCCTCAAGGACAGTTAACATCCACGCAAGCAAAGCATAAGGAAATAGAAAGCGATTATATCCAAGGTGTCATTAGAATCTGTAAAGTAATTTACTTTGTACTCTGTACTGGATGAGGTATTGAGAGTCATAAGCATCTCTGCAGACTGGCAAATGGACCGGCCCACGTACTGGAAGCTCAGCGTTGGGGGAACGATAGAAAAGGGAGAGGAAGGCGGCGGCGGAAGGTGGCGGGGGAGGACGCGACAAGACTAAGGGACTTCCCAGACATCCTACTGCAACAATTCTCTACTTGCATTTTGGCTGCATGTAACTTTTAGGCACTTATTTTCATGGACTGCTCATACTACTCCAATTCTGAAGATGGAATAAAAATAGTTTTTAACTTTTCCTTTCTGCACAACAGCAGTCTCTTTTGGAGGCATTCGTCAGAAACATCTAGCAGGCTTCTAAGCCTTTAGTAAAGCAAGTCTCCTCTGGCTGTCCACCTGGGCTGTCGGTAAGTGGCTGTCTGCCGGGGCTCTACGTCAGAACCCGCAGATACTCAGACTCCACTTGCAGATATTAAAATTCAGATCTGAGTAGGGCCCAGGCATTTTTCTGATAGTGGAGGTAGAAAAAAGTATTTTGGGGAGACGTTCCAATCTAAAGGGAATAATTTTCTTCGGCCCCCTTTCCCCTGGACACTCCTGCCCACACCCCTGACACTGGGGAACCGGTATGTTTCACGTGTTGCTTTGAGACCACAAAGAGACAAGAGGACAGCTAGCTAAGATTTCCACTTGAGGTCTTACTTCTTCCTTTGGGAAGGCTGATTTCCCCCCATTCTAAGAAGAACAACAAATCCAAAACATTTTAGCTGCTTGTCAGGAAAGTACAAGCGGGTTTACCATGGAGCCAAATACTCATGCACATCATGCTTCGAGTTTCTAAGTGTTTATTCAAGTGTGATAACCATTCAAGTGGTTATCGAGGTCCTATAAATTCTGAATAGAGTGACTCCTAACACAGATGCTGTGCGTCTCCCTTCCTCCTCCTCCTTCCATGAAACCAGAACACAACTGCCTCACTTCTTTTGGAAGGCATCACAGAAACCTACATGGTATTGTATTTATCCACCTACCCACTCTGTAAGTCAGACAGCTACTCCATCGCACTTCCAGGACAACGTCAGTCTCAAGTTTTTTCTCACTGGACTTTCACAAATACACCAATTCCTTCCCTTTCTTAAAGCCCACTTTAGTTTAAGTAAACGTTCTCACTCGGGGGTCTCCTGAAGCGCCTGACGCCCCAAACTCAAAGATTAGAACACTCTTCCAGAATCCTCTCCAGCATTTCTCAAACTAGGAGGAGTGGAGCTTATAAAACACTCCCCAAGCTTTCCAGAAAGAATCACCTGGGGCACTTGTCAAATACACAACTTAACCAAGAATCTCCTCTGGAAAAATTGATTCAAGTAGGTAAGTGAAAGACAGAAATCCGTACGTTACCAAGCGTCCCGGGTGATTCTGGAAGCAACCTCTTTTCTGCCAGAGTTCTTCACCGCTCCCGTACCCTCCACTTCTTCCAGGCATGTGGTCTCCCGCTGCCCGGCACCCTCCTTTCACCTCCTCAAAGCAAAGTTTTACCAACAAATCCAGCCACCATGATTTCTCTTTCTTCCCAATTCCGGCTGCAATTAGTCCTGAGACACAATGTATAATATTTGGCCTTTTAAGTGTATTGTGTTCCATAAAACTTGTGGATCAATTGATATCCATTTATCTTCTTTATTTTTTCAGGGAAAGTCCAGTGTTAAGAACAAGCAAGGTTAAATAATTTAAAATGTTCATAAGAGTGTGCTGAATGTGATTCTGGAGCCATAGTTATTAACTCAAAAGCCCCGAAGAGTTCACTGTGTTTAAACTCTTACTGTTGAACGCTACACGAAAATAATCCCTTAGTTCTCCCACAAGGAAAGCAGTTCCTTTCTGCAGAAGCTTGATAATTATAAGCCTTCCCATTTCTTCTCATAAGCGGCTTATTCACATAGTTAAGGAACATACTAAATAAAGCCACCTCCTCAAATGAGCTGGTATTTGATTTTAAAACTGTACCAAGGAAAAGGCAACGTGTTCCAGTGGTGGAGAACAGTAATTCAGCCAACTCTTCATCATCTAAGGAGGAGGGACCTGGAAGACAGCACTTAGAAACCCACAGACGACTCGTGACTGTAGTCCATCCAGTACAGTAACTGTGACAACTGCTGCTGCTTTATGGGGGCTGCTGTTGGAAAAGATGGCGAAACACTGAGATCATCTCCAAGATCCCCGTTAAATTCTAATAACCTAGCATCTGATGACTCCAAACATCTTCCCAGGGACTTCTGACTGCCAAGGGGCATAAGTCAGGAAGGAAGTGACTATCAAATGGGGTCAAGTGTGACTCCCCTCCATCCCCAGCCCAGACCTCGTATCTGCATTTTTTTTAAAAGCTCCTAATGCTGGTTCTGAGGCACATTTTGCAAAGTGCCTCTTCTCTCACCCTGCCACATCCATGCCTCATGCCTTCCCCTCTTCGTTCCTAGCTTTTCTCAAACAAAATGTTTTAGTCTCTTTGAACTGTAACCATGCCTCAAATCCCAGCTCAAATGCCAACCACTTCTTGAAGCCTAAAAAGATCACCATTGCTGAAACGACTTCCCACTCTCCAGCACTCTAGTGCCATTTGCAAACCTTTAAGAGAATAAAAGATGCTTCATTTCATTAAACAAATCTCATCTTTGCGCAAATCTCATCTCTCTTAC